ACCTCCTTGTCGTGGCGATCGTGGATGAGCAAAAACCGGGAATGCTGCACCTGGTCGACCAACGGCGCGCCTCCGAGAGAATGGGTCAAGGGGTCGGTGGAGATGGCCAGGCCGACACGCGCCTGGACCTCCTCAAAGAGGTGTGGCATGGCGGCATTTGCCAGACCAATCAGGCCGCCAAATCGCTCAATGACCTCGTGGTAGGTGGCAGGCCCGCCGATCAAGACAACCTTGCGAATGCCCACATCGAGAAGGCCATTGTGAATCGCGCCGAGCGTGGCGCCCGCGCCCATCGAATGGCCAATGACGCCCTCGACCTTGTTGCCGCCGCTGGCAACAACCTCGGCAACCTTCTTGAGCGTTTGGCCAAACACGGCCGCGTTGGCCTTGCCGTCGACGCTCTTGCCGTGGTTGGGCATGTCAATGGCAATCACCCGGCGGTTGCTCTTGACGAGCGGCTCGACAAAGTAGCCGAGCTGCGTGCCACGACCTTCCCAGCCGTGCACGAGAATAACGGCAGGGTCGGTGGTTCGTCCCCACGAGTAGAGCTTGATTCCCTGGAGCGATGGCTCCGAGTGTGCCAAATCCGTCGACGTTGCAGCCAGTCGCTGCTCAAACTCGGGCGGCGTGTAGCGGCGGGGTGTGAAAAAGATGTCGGCTGCCTGGCGCGCGACATAATTGGGCAGAAGCCAGCCGCCCGCCGAAAAGTAGAGTCGCGAAGCGTACTGCTGGGCCGTTGCGACGGAGGTCATGGTTTTGTGTGAGTGTGAGTGAGTGTGTGTGAGTGAATGTGTGTGAGTGTGCTGGCGGTGGGGGGGGGGAGCAAGCAAAATGCGTGGCCGTTTGCGGTTTGGTTTGTTTGCTCAGAAGGTAGCGGAAGAAGTGGAGAAAGCAAGGTGATCTCGAGGCTCCAGAGAGGCAGACACACAAAAGTCAACTCAAAGTTTGAAAACTATTCAATCAAAGATTGAAAGTGGGGAGGGGAAGGGAGAACCAAAAAAAAAAAAAAGGGAGACTGAGCCAGTTCGAAAAGCGGAAACGGAGGGCTGAAATAGGACGAGCGGAGCGGAAACAAAAAAGCTCCGCGCAAACCCCCACACGGAGGATTCTTTTTTGGGTTGCACGTTTTCGGGTCGGACCTGAGTGGTGGCTGCTTCCGCTTTGGTACATACAATGTGTAGGAAAAGAGCTTTTGAAATGTGAGAGTTTGAACGCGTCAGCAGGAATGCGGGGAAGCGGGACGGGGAAGCGGGTAAACCCGAAACGACAAACTTGGATGCGAAATCTCCCCAATTTCTGAGCGAAACGAACTGTCACCCGACGAAAAGACAGGCCTCAATCCATCCGACGATACAGGGGCCAATAAATGCGTGCGATTCGAATCGCTTGATGCGAGATTTACCGTGTTGTGTAGTTCGTTTGCCTGTTCGTATCGTATTTTAGTTCTGTTGTCGTGTTGTAACTCAGCTTTGCTCCACCCAGCCTCCTCGCATGAATCATTCGTACTTGACAAGGTGGGAAAGCAGTCGATCATCTCAAAACTGATATTAACACAAGCAAAACCAGGACAAAAATAAAACACCCCGCCACATCTTCAAACCTCAATTCGCTTCTACAACCCGGCATCAGACATCGTCAGCGAGTCCAACAGCGGTGTAATGGCCGTAATCTCACTTCGGAGGTCGCCCACAGTCGCATCTCTGCCAAACCCGAAAAAGTCCTGCCGCGCGACAGGCAGAGCCGCAGCAAGTTCTGTCGCCCATCCGTCGAGTTGCCTCTTGATGGCGTCGCGCTTTAGGAAAAAGTGCCGCTTCACAACACTCTCAAAGCCGTTGAATGTGCGCTGGAGCGGACTGCGTATGCCCCACCGCGCGGTCGCCAGATAGAGGTTTCGGTTGTAGCGCTTGGACTCGACCGCATTGTTCCGCAGCCCTGGCTCGTTGTAAAACGGCTCTTGCACCAACACGAGCGACTGGATGGAGACGAGCACCTGGAGGAGGGTCGCCGTTGCCGTCCAGCTCGGCCCCTCCCAAGTGTTGAGGAGCGACAGGCAGACCTTGCCGCAGTTGTACAGGTTGGGATTAAACCTCACAGTACCGTTGCCCGTTGTGAGGAACTGCACGCGCGGAGGCTCTTGAGGGTAGGTCCAAGACACCCAAATGTCGAAAAAGAACAGACCGTTCTCATATGGAGTGCCCTCTGGTCCAATAATTAACGCGCGAAGCACGTCATTGCGCGAATCGTCCACACCTGTGGTTGGTTGATGCAACAGTAGGGAAGAAAAAAAGCAAGCCAAATCAACAAAAGGAACAAAAAAAATCAGTCGGAATCGAAGGTGGACGGCGGAGGCTTCTCTGCCCACTTACGCAAAAACACGGACGATGCCCAAGCGACGGGGAGAGCGGTGGAAAGTGCCATGAGTTCCTGTTTGGGAGAAGAAAAAAAAGAAAAAGACAAATGCCAGGAAAGAGGATGAGGATTATGCAAACCAATTTTGCTCATCGGGTACGATCATCTTGCAAAACACAAAACAAACAAAAAAAAACCGTGCACACCTTGAAGAGGCGCGGCATGCGCGTGCGAGATGCACCGCTGGGTGGTGGTTTGTCAAACATAGGGCGGTATGTGTGCGCCGCAGCCAGGCCTGCAATCGATTCAAACCGGAGCGGGGACAAGGCGCTCACATAGCGATCAGCCTCAGAAACAACAGCTGCAGACGCGGCACTGACTGGAGCGGCCGAGGAGGAGGAGGACGACGACGATGCAGGGGTTGACGACGACGACGCTTGAGAAGTAGTCGTCAAGCTTCGGCTGCTCCGTGGGGCCGGGCGTGCTGCGGCTGTGGCATCTGCCGAGTCCTGTTGCGGTTGCGAAGCAGGTTGAGATGACGAATCATCTGTCGTCCCCATCGAGCTTGACACCTTTGAAAGCTCCTTTTGAGCAGTCCGCGCGACTTCGACGGCTTGCTGAACATCACGACAGAGGCCCACAATCTCGAGACACAGGCGGTACGTCGCGCCCATCTCGTCGTTCTCCGCCACCGCTGTGCCAGCGTCCTGCATCTTGCTGGTGGACTGCAAAAAGAAGCTGGCTTGAGTCTCAAAGCTGCGGAGCAGTGCAGCAATGCAGGTACTCGATTCGCCCGGCGCCGACTGGCGTGGCTCGAGACTCGGCGCGGCGCTCTCGTCCACCAGCGTGCCGGTACTCGTGAGTTTGGCGGGACCATCACCAGTGGGAGCATCCTCGATGAGTGTGCCGCTGCGGGTGAATTTTGCCGGGCCTGCTGCGCTTGCTTCCTTTGCATTATTGTTGCCTTTGGACTTGGCAGGACTGCGCCCACCAGAGCTCACTTTTGACAAGAGTGCAGGCGGCTGCTCCGGCGCTGGAGCAGCACCAAGTTGAATGGCCGCAACAGCCATGGCCAAGGTTCCCTGCAGGTTCATTGTGGTCAGACTAATCAAGTCTGGATGCGTTGCGCACACACTCAACAGCCCGAAAACGGCGTAGCAAATCTCGCGCCGGTCTGCCAGCTCCATCATGCTGTCGTTTCTCAGAAAGGCGACTAGCAGCTCTGTCAACTCTGATCGGAGTACCATCGGCAGCAGGAACGGCGGGATGGGGTGGGTGAACATGGCGGGAGATGCAGCTACGCCTTCCAGAATGTCCGCATCGGGATGTGCGCTACTAGGCGCAGACGCACCCAACCATCCTGCACCATAGGTCGTGTCCAGCCTTTCAAGAAGGCGAGTGATGTCGACTAAAACTCGCGCCAGCTGCGAGTCTTCCTTCCACGACGAAACGAGACTGCTGGCCGTTGTCGAATACGTGGCGTACTGCTCGTTTCCGGCATATCCCGTTCCCCGCGAGCCTATTGGCTGCGACACTAATGATTTCGCGCAAGTCCCAGCAGCAGAATAGAGTAAGATTTTTGCCAAAAAACCCCCAACAACAAACAAACAAACAAACAAACAAACAAACACTGCCCCCATTGTTGATGAAGATTCCATACCATTCGACAGGTGCTGACCTCGTCCCCGACCGCGACCCCGACCTCGACCTCGACCTCGGCCTCGATCTGCTGCTTCGCTCGGAACGGACTGCATGGGCGGCGGCTGCTGGCTGGCGCCGATGGTGGCTTGCGGCTTTTGCTCTGGACGGTAAAGGATCGCCTCAACCAAGGCCAGCTGGCGAGCTAGCATGACGGCAAACACGGCAGGGCAGTGGTGAGCCTGAGGTGCGCGCTGGCGAGTTGGCAAGACAGCCAGACACCCAATGCAGAGGTTGGTGTTGCACGCAGCGCAAGTGTGGTGCATGCGACCGATCGGTGCATCCAACATTGTAGCATTGGTCGTTTGGGGATACTCGTACAGGGTCACAGACTGCTGGCAGGTCGGGCACTGCGGGGCGATCGGCTTCAGACACGCCGCTATGGCATGAAGGCTGCTGCCCGCAATCGCATACGTGCTCTTGCGGTCGCTCTTGTCGGGCTGGACGTTTGCAGCGCTGGTGGATGCAAGGCCGAGCATGGCCGGGGTCGGCGGAGAATAGATGGTTTGCATGAAGCGACCCAGCCACTTGGCGCGCAGCTGGGTGAAGGCGTCGTCAGCAGTCTGCAGCTCTGTCGTTGCTGCTTTGGTCAGGGAGGGCAGGGTGCCGCTAGCAGCAGCAGCAGCAGCAACAGCAGCTTTGGCCGCGGCATTGCGCCTTCCACGAGTTCTGGGCGACTCAGCGACGCTGCTGCTGCCAGCAAAGTGGTGATGGAGCATGCGACTCATGTCGCGGGAAGACAGGTACTTGCCGCACCTTGCGACAGGGCACACGACCAAGCCGAGCTCGGAAGGCAGAATGTGCGTGGTCACAGTCGAGTCCACGCAACGCGGACACAGCCGATGCAAGCAGACGTCCAGAACGTAAACCCCTTCAGAGCTCACCCCGGTTTTGCAACCCGCGCATCGGGTGGTTCCATCGGCAAACGTCGCAGCACTCGCGTTGACCTCGTCCAGCAGAACACACGGCTCGTCGTCATCGTTTGCCACAATGGTTGAGCTCGCACGCAAGCCCAGCAAACTCGACGGGGCAGCAGCAGTCTTGGAGACGGCAAGGATCACGACATCGTCGTCGTCGGTGTCCTCCGCGCCCTTCTTGTGCTGAGACCGTGGCTGAGGATGAGGTTGGGGTTCACCCTGCGACAAGACCTCGTTGATCTCTTCTTCTTCGGGGAGGGTCGGCTCGGTCGCGGCTCTGCTCAGCACCACGATTTTGCGCGGGAAATTTCGCTCCTCCGCATCGTCCTCATCGTTGAGGTCGTGGCTCCGTGTGCGCTTGCTGGTCATCACGACGCTCGCGGCTCCATGGACTTCAACATCGCCGCTGCCATCGACGACGAGCACAGGGTTCGACGACGAGGCGGTGGCGGGGCTGCCTGGCGCCGTTCCAGCGCGAGAGCTGCTTCTGCTGCGGGTGATTCGCACGCTACTGCCGAGAACGGGCAGCACGCGTCCGTCCGCAGACGTGTCCATCGCAACGCATGTGATGCTTGAGCTGCGTGACATCCTGGTGCTGGTCTCCGGGTCGATGAGCAGGGCGTCCGAGCTGCTGTCCGCGTCCAAAACACAAGCTGTGCTGTTCCCAGCCATTTTGGCCTGCAAAAAAGAGAACGAAAGGTTTGTTGGAGAAAAAAAAAAAAAAAAAAAAAAAAGAACTGACGATGAGAGTCGAGTTTAGTTTAGTTGAACTTCTATTGTAGGATGATGCTATTTGAGCCAAAGACAACACAAGCCATAACGTTATGGCTGGTCGTCGGCTGGGAGAACGGGCGGTTGGGCGGCGACCAGCGATTCGGAAGGTTGCTCGCACGCGCATCCGGCGGGATCGGTGCAGCTGGTGACGGTGGACACGAGTCTAGCATACTCGGACAAGGCATCGACGCCAGTGGTTGTCTCCGGGGCAATTTGCACGACCAGCTTGCCGCGGGCGCGACCACTCGCAAGTGTCGAAATTGCCTGCTGAACATCGGACTGGGTGAACTGCAGCACGCGACCGAGATGAGGCACGACCACGCCCTGCTGCACCAGCTGGCAGCACGCCAGCAAATCCTCGTCGGATATTTGCACATTGATGAAATAGTACGCTGGACCCGACACTAGGCTCCAAAGCTTGTGTTTCAAAAACGCGCCGCTCAGCGCCGCCACACGCGATGACTATCACAAAAGGACGAAAAAAAACCAAGCCAAAAAAAGTATTCATCAGAACGGATGCACGGAGATGTGAGTGAGAGTGCAAGTTTTCGGCATGGCCACGCACTCGGCGAAACACGCCTGTTTACCGAAAGCTCTGGCGTTCCGACAGACACTGTGAGCAGCCGACCGCCATGCGAGAGCACTTGTGAGGCCATCTCATAAGTCCTGTCAGCACCAACCGTGTCAAAGATCACGTCATAGATGTGCTGGAGGGAGGATGGCTGCGCGGCGGCTTGAGTTTCGCCTATTGGAGCCCACCACTGCTGCGTTTGGTAATCAATCACATTGTGCGCACCCAAGCTCCGCACAAAGTCGGCATTGGCCCCCGAACAAGTCGCCGACACGACAGCTCCGAGATGCACGGCAATCTGTACAGCAAAATGGCCTGTTTTTTTTTTTGGAACGGCGGATCAGCCCAGAGGTGAAGTGCTCGTGGTGAGCACAAGTACACGACACTTGACTTGTGATGCTGATCGATATCACCACTTGCTTGGATTGCAACTCGGTCAGGACGCAACTCACCAATTCCACCGCTGCCGCCCAAGACTAGCACTCTCTCGCCGGCCTTGACATTAGCTTGAGCTAGCCCTTGATACGCTGCCAGCATGGCCGTCGGCAATGCGGCGGCAATGTGGAATGGCACGCCGTTGGGCAACGGGGCAACCCATTCTTCGAGACACACAACATATTCGGCCATTGCACCGCCAACAAAGCGCGTCGCGCCAAATACGAAATCGCCCTCCTTGAAGCGACCACTGCATGCTTGCCCAATCCCGACGACAATGCCGGCAAAGTCGCATCCCGGAATCATTGGCACCTTCTACCAATCCAAATTGTTCAGATTGGCGTGAGAAATTCAGCGTCATTTGCTGGGTGCGTGCTGGGCCTTACCGACATCATCCAAAATTCGCCTCGCATTGATTTGACTATGCGAGAAGAAGATCAGACGGTGTGGTGCAAGAGTGTTACGTGAGCGCAAATCTGAATGAATGGGAGTGCAGGTACAGTACCAGACAAACCAACGAACGCACCATCGAGCCCGCTGAGCGAGGCCGCAACCACCTTGATGAGCAAGGCTCTTCGTTTGACCAGCTTGGGGACAACAACATGGTCAAACACGTTGATGTGGTCGAACTGACCAAACTGCAAGAGCACCACGCCGCGCATTTCGACCTCGACGAAGTTTACTTTGGCCCGATGGCGGTGATCTGTGACTTTGCAAACAGAACACACTGAGGCGTTAGACAACTATTGAGAATCAGACACGTCATCAGACTGCGACTGGGCGCCACTTGGACGGCGACCCACAATGGAAACGCAGAAATAGACTGAAACAACACTGCGCCGCTTTGGGCAATCGCGACTACCGCAGCTTGATCGCCACATAAAACTACAATACACGGTTGCAGCGGGGCCTTTCGCAATACCACGTAGAGCCTCTCTAGAAATCGTGTTAGAGCGTCCTTGCCGCCAGTTTGAGAAGGTGGCCAGCTTGACAATGGCTGGACCGCCGGTAGGTGCAGCAGACATTCAGCAACCCTTTTCCTCCTCTTCTTCTTTATTGCATCTTCTTCTATTCCCGACCAACGACATTTTCGATCAAGATCTTTCTACTTTTCTGTTCTCGGTTGGTGCTGTTCTTGTATGAAGAGCGAAACGAGCTTCACGACAACGCGTTGAAATTTGCATACTTTTGGCGAATTTTCAATCCGAATCCCCGCTCTTCCCGAGCTGTACCGGCATATTCGTTGTCGTGTAATGCGTGCCAATACTGTATCACTGCACTTGCTTGATTCATGTCATGAATACAAACAGAGATCACTTTGAATTCCAGCATTCATTCCTATTTCTTTTTTTTTTTCTTTTTTTTTTTTCCTTATTATTTTTTTTTGCTGGGATGGCATCCACCGCGCCTCCTGCTGCTGCTGCTGCTGCTGCGGCTGTGGCGACGCGCGATGCGGCCACCGTGCTGCCCTATGTGCGCTCCGTCGTGTCCGTGCTTCTCGCGGACGACAGCGCGATCGAGGCCGACCTTGCCCAGCTCGACGCGACGCTCGCTTTGGCGCCAACGCAGGCTGCCGTCTCCCGCTTTGCCAGCGACGCCGCCTGCCCCATCCTCGTCGTACAGCGCGCCCTCGCAGGTGGGGTGCATCACTTACTACTCTTCTGGCTTGTCGAAACGCTCGCTCCCTGATGATTGAGTTTTCCGTTCAAGTTGCATCGATCACGAGCCAGAGATCGCAAATTTTTCTTTTTCTCTTTTTTTTTTTTTTTTTTCTTTCTGTTCAATCCACTTGGTGAATTCCTTCCGTTACCTACCCATGTTGTACAATTTTCACTCACCCTCGCTGCTATTCCTTCTTCTTTTTTTTTTCTTGTTTTTTGGGACAGAAACGGGATCGGCACCATCCTACTCTGTGCAGTTGGAGGTCCGCCACAGTGGCGGCGCGCGCTCGGCGACCTTCCTGGCACTCATCAAGAAGGGCACCGTGCTGGAGGCAGACAAGTCGCTTGCTCAGCAGCTGCACGTCATCAACCTCAGCGAGGACAACCCGTTCGAGACGCTGCACGCATACATTCACAACGCCGTCTCGCCGTTCTTCAACTCGTGCGTCACAGCCAAGCAGGATTCGTCGGCCGATCCTTCGTCATCGGCATCATCATCATCTACAGGTGGATCCAGCTCGGCCGCGGCGGCGGGGCTGGCCTCGGGAAGCGCCACCGTCAAGCGCAAGATGGCTGAACTTGAGCTCTCGCTGCTGCAGCTGCAGCAGAATGTCGATATTCCGGAGGTGGACTTGCAAATCCACCCGCTCATTACACAGACCATTGCCAAGCATCGTTCGGCGGGCACCAAGGCCACCGTTGACGACTTTGACGTGAACGACTCGACGTTCGTCTTCAACCTGCAGAGCTGCGTCGATCGCTGGATTAAGGAGATTCAAAAGGTGACCAAGCTCGACCGCGACCCGTCGCACGGCAGCGCCTTGGTGGAAATTGCCTTCTGGGTCAACCTCGAGCGCGCCCTGCAGCAAGTCGAGACCCGCCTGGCTGCGGACGACGTTGTGCTCACTCTCGACCTGCTCCAGCGCGCCAACCGCTTCACGGCCATCACCAAGTTCCGCTCGGACATTCAGCTCAAGGAGGCGATGGAGCGTGTGGCCAACTACAACGTGGTCATGAAGAACTTCCCAATCAACGAAGCCCTTGCCGCTCCCGATGTCGGCCGCATCATCACTGCCGTGGAGGACATTTTCAACCACTTTAAAAAGCTCCGTGGGTCGCAGTATCCCATCCCGCGTGCCATCAAGTTTGTTGAAGCCGTGTCGCGCGACATTTCCGCGCACATTGTGGACGTGCTGCAGCGCCGCAAGCTCATGCAGCTGCCGTTCGACGATTTTGAGCAACTCATGGAGCATTGCAACCAGCTCTTCCGCCGCTTTGCTGTCCACCTCACCAGCTTCAAGAACATGATTCGTGACGTCGCTCGCACCAGCACCCAGGCAAACCGCTCGCAGCTGGCCATCCGCAACGAGCTGGCCACGCTGGAGGAACGCCTTGGCGCTGTGCAAGAGTTCCGTCGCCACCACGAGCAGCTCCGCTCGGTCATTCTGCGTGTGCTCCGCACGGCCTCGTTCGGCAACGACGAGAATGCCGTCAAGGCGGCTGCGTCCATCGCCAACCACACGACCGTTCTCGCGCTCTCTGCCTCAGGCGACAGCAACACGCAAGCCATCGACGACATTAACGATGCCTTTGAGACGGTCAAGAACGTTGACGTGCTCGACCTCACTCGCGAGGGCCTTGAGCTCTGGGAGTCTGCCAAGCGTGCTTACGACGAGCGCGTGGACCGCGTCGAAACCCAAATCACCGCCTACCTGCGCGACCAGCTGGGCACGGCCAAGAACGCCAACGAAATGTTCCGCATCTTCAGCCGCTTCAACGCGCTGTTTGTGCGTCCACGCATCCAAGGCGCCATCAAAGAGTACCAGACCAAGCTCATTCAGCGCGTCAAGGACGACATTGAGACGCTCGTCAACAAGTTCAAGACCCAGTACTCGCACTCGATGGCCTCGCGCATGAGCACAGTCCGCGACATTCCGCCAGTGTCTGGCTCGATCATTTGGGCCCAGCAGATTGAGCGCCAGCTCAAGACGTACATGCGTCGCGTCGAGGATGTCCTTGGCCCCAACTGGGTCAAACACGTTGAGGGTGGCAAGCTCAAGGCGGACGGCGATAACTTTGCCCGTCTGCTCAACCCGCAACAGCTCTACCTCAAGTGGATTGACGATGTCACTGCGCGCGATCCCGAGGTTGCAGGCCCGCTCTTTGAGATTGTCAGCATTCGCTCGCGCGCGGCCTTGGCTGCCGCCACGCTGAACGCTGCTGGTAGCACTTCGTCAGCTGCTGCTGCTGCTGCTGCTGCCGCTGCCGGTCCTGCCTCCCGTCTTCGACTGGGCGTCAACTTTGACTCGCAAATCATCACCCTGTTCAAGGAAGTGCGCAACCTGCAGTGGCTGGCCGAGCGCAACGGCCTCAAGCCGGTGCCCAACAAGATTACGCGCGTTGCCCACGCTGCAGAGACCATCTATCCGTTCGCCGTTTCCCTTCAAGAAACGCTGCGCGGCTACTCGACCGCGTGCGACCAAGTCGACGCCCTCGACGCGAACGCCCCGCAACTCGTGGCTGGCTACAAGCGCGACATGCAGGTCTTGATTGCCGAAGGTATGACCAAGTCCTGGGACAATGTCAACCTCGACAAGTACATTACCCGCCTGGCTGCTGCCGCTCAAACGTTCCAGGACAAAGCTGAGGATTTGCAGGCCATCCATGCCAAGGTTGCCGCGCTGGTCAAGTCGCTGGCCACTTGCGCCCTGGACGCCGCGACGCTCCGTGGCATTGTCTCACGCATTCAGAACGCTGTCGACGAGCTCAAGCTCAAGGGCTTCTCCAACCTGACCTCCTGGGCGTCCACGCTCGATGCCCAAGTCGAAGGCCTGCTCGCCGTGCGTCTCCAGGCTGCTGTCGCGACGTGGACTGCCGCCTTGACCAACTACAACACGGCTGTCGCAGCTGGCAAGAAGCCGCAGTTCAACCAGCAAATGTCCATCATTTCGTACCACGATGAAAACGACAGCGCCAACGCTGCTGCTGCTGCTGCTGCCGCTGCTGATGCTGGAGCCATCACACACCCGGCCGGCGGCATCCCCACCTTCAAGGAGCTGACGCACGAAATCCGCATCCGCAACCAGGTCATGTACTTGCATCCGCCGCTCGAGCACTCGCGCTCGCACTTGTTCAACCAGCTGCACGAGTGGCTTCGCGTCGTGTGCGGTCTGCCGCGCATCCAGGGCTCGCGCCTTGCGGTCGATGCCGGCCTTGCGGACGGCTCGTCTGCCTCTGGCGCTGCCTCGCACGAGCACACCTACCGCACGCTGGTCGTCAAGCTGGCCGTCACCGACCCGCAGGCGCTGCCCAAGGCGCTCGCTGCCATTGAACAGCGCGTCGCCCAGGTGCGTGACTATGTCAAGGATTGGCTCCAGTACCAAGCGCTCTGGGACCTCGAGGGCGCTTCGGTCGTGGCTCGCCTCGGTGACGACATTCAGCTGTGGCAGCAGCTTCTTGTTGAAATCAAAAAGGCCCGCGCCACTGTCGACTCTGCCGACATCACGGCGTCCTTTGGGCCGATCGTGGTCAACTTCCAGCAAGTGCAGACCAAGGTCAACCTCAAGTACGACGCCTGGCACAAGGACATTCTCGGTCGCTTTGGCGCGCTCATGTCGTCGTCCATGCAAGACTTTTACCGCGAGATTGGCACCAGCCGCACCGACCTCGAGCAGCACTCGGTGGACGCCGAGTCGACCGCCGAGGCCGTCAACTTTGTCACGTTTGTGCAAGACCTCAAGCGCAAGGTGCGCGTCCTCACCACCCGCATGCAAGCCTTCCGCGACGGTCAAAAGCTGCTGGAGCGCCAGCGCTTCCAGTTCCCCTCGGACTGGCTGCACGTTGGTCAGCTCGAGGGCGAGTGGGCCGCGCTCAGCGAAATTCTCGCTCGCAAGGACGCTGCCATTCAGTCGCAGCTCGCCTCGCTCCGTCTGAAGGTGATTGCCGAAGACCGCGCCACGGCTGCCAAGGTCGGCGAGCTGCTGGCCGAGTGGGAGGCCGAAAAGCCCGTCCAAGGCCATCTCCGCCCCGAGAATGCGCTCAAGTGCATTGCCGGCTTTGAGACACGCTTCCAGCGTGCGCGCGACGATACCGAGCGTCTCAACCGTGCCAAGGAGGCGTTGGACATTTCTGACGCGTCGGCATCGTCTTCCTCGGCCTCCAGTAGTAGTGGTAGTGGTAGTGCCTCGTTCTCGGATGCTCGTCTGGACTCTGCTGCCAGCGAGCTCGCCGAGCTCAAGGGCGTCTGGTCGGAGCTCTCGGCCACGCATCTGGCGCTGGACGAGATTCGCGACCGCCCGTGGTCGGCCGTCGTCTCGCGCAAGGTTCGCCAGTCGCTGGATGACATGCTCAACACGCTGAAAAACTTGCCCAACCGCATGCGCCAGTACGCCGGCTACGATCACCTGCAAAACCTCCTGCGCGGCCTGATCAAGATCAACCCCCTTGTTGGCGATCTCAAGTCCGAGGCGCTGCGCGAGCGTCACTGGAAGCTGATTGCCAAGCGGCTCCGCCTCGAAAGCGTGCCATTCACCGAGCTGACCCTTGGCCATTTGTACGACGCCGACCTGGCCAAGAACGAAAAGGCCGTGCGTGACGTGCTGACTGTCGCCCAGGGTGAAATGGGTCTGGAAGAGTTTTTGCGCCAAGTGCGCGACTTTTGGCAGGCCTTCCAGGTCGACCTCGTCAACTACCAGAACAAGACCAAGCTGATTCGCGGCTGGGACGACCTGTTTGGCAAGGTCAAGGAGCACCTGGGCAGCATTACCGCCATGAAGCTCTCGCCGTACTACAAGGTCTTTGAAGAGGAAGGGGTCTCTTGGGAAGACAAGCTCAACCGCATCAACGCCCTGTTTGACGTCTGGATTGACGTCCAACGTCGCTGGGTCTACTTGGAAGGCATCTTCTCGGGCTCGGCCGACATCAAGCACCTGCTCCCGACCGAGACGTCGCGCTTTGCCAACATTAGCACCGAATTCCTCGGGCTGATGAAGAAGGTGACCAAGTCGCCCTCCATTCTGGATATCGTGGCCATTCCGAACGTGCAAAAGTCGCTCGAGCGTCTGGCCGACCTGCTCAGCAAAATTCAGAAGGGTATCGGTGAATACCTCGAGCGTGAGCGTTCGTCCTTCCCTCGCTTTTACTTTGTCGGTGACGAAGACTTGCTCGAGATTATCGGCAACAGCAAGGACATTCCCAAGCTCCAAAAGCACTTCCGCAAAATGTTTGCTGGCATCAACACGCTGACCCTTGACGAGGAAAGCACGACGGCCTTGGGCATTTGCTCGCGCGAAGGCGAGAGCGTGCCGTTCAAGTCTGCTGTTGTCATCAAGGACAAGCGCATCAACGAGTGGCTTGCTCAGGTGGAGAAGGAGATGCAAATGACGCTTGCTCACCTTCTCGCCGAGGCTGTCGAGCAAGTGCTCAAGTTTGACGCGAGCAGCTTCTCGCCGGACGCGTACTTGACGTGGATGGACTCGTTCCCGACCCAGCTGGTCGTGCTTGGTGCGCAGGTTGCCTGGTCGCAAAGCGTCGAGACCAACCTGACGGAGGCCGCCAAGGCTGGCACCAGCGCCGCGGCCGCTGCCGGCCTTCGTCAGGTCGTGTCCAACGTCGAGACCACCTTGGCCGCGCTCGCCGACACCGTCCTCGGCGAGCAACCGCCCATCCGTCGCCGCAAGCTCGAGCATCTCATCACCGAGCTTGTGCATCAGCGCGATGTCACGCGTGAGCTGGCATCGTCCTCCAAGGTGTCGTCGCCTTCGTCCTTTGAGTGGCTCTCGCAAATGCGCTTTTACTTTGACCCCAAGCACGCCGACGTTCTGCAGCGCCTGACCATCCGCATGGCCAACGCCTCGTTCTACTACGGCTTTGAGTATCTCGGCATCACCGACAAGCTCGTGCAGACGCCGCTGACCGATCGCTGCTACCTCACCATGACGCAAGCCCTCGAGGAGCGCCTTGGCGGCTCGCCCTTCGGTCCCGCCGGTACCGGCAAGACTGAGACGGTCAAGGCTTTGGGCAACCAGCTCGGTCGCTTCACCCTTGTCTTTAACTGCGACGAGACGTTCGATTTCCAGGCCATGGGCCGCATCTTTGTGGGTCTGTGCCACGTCGGTGCATGGGGCTGCTTTGACGAGTTCAACCGTCTCGAGGAGCGCATTCTCTCGGCCGTCTCGCAGCAGGTCCAGACCATCCAGCTCGCCTTGAAGGAATCGACTGCTGCCACCTCCAAGATTGAGGTCGAGCTTGTTGGCAAGACGGTTCGCGTCAACCCTGCCATGGGCATCTTTATCACGATGAATCCTGGCTACGCCGGCCGCTCCAACTTGCCCGACAACTTGAAGAAGCTCTTCCGCTCGCTCGCCATGACCCAGCCAGACCGTCAGCTCATTGCCCAGGTCATGCTCTTCTCGCAGGGCTTCCGCTCTGCCGAGCAGCTTGCGCGCAAGATTGTGCCCCTTTTCAAGCTCTGCTCGGAGCAGCTGTCTGCGCAGTCGCACTACGACTTTGGTCTGCGTGCGCTCAAGTCTGTCCTTGTCAGCGCTGGTAACATTAAGCGCAGCAACTTGCGCCGTGTGCGCGAGCAGGCAGAGCGCGCCGGCCAGACGGTCGATCTGTCCATTGCCCAGGACTTTGCCTCTGAGCAGCAAGTCCTCATCCAGTCCGTGGTCGAGACGCTTGTGCCCAAGCTCGTTGCTGACGACATTCCGCTGCTGTACAGCCTGCTGGTGGACGTCTTCCCGGGCATTGAGCATGCGCCTGCGCAGCTCGACGCCCTCAAGGACGCTGTGCGCGCCGTGTGCAACGAGCGCCACCTCATTGTTGGCGAAGCCTGGCTCGAAAAGATGCTGCAGCTCTACCAAATCCAGACGCTGCACCACGGTGTCATGATGGTGGGTCCCAGCGGCAGCGGCAAGAGTTCGGCCTGGAATGTCCTGCTCGAGGCGATGCAACGTGTCGACGGCGTCGAGGGCGTGTCCTACGTGCTCGACCCCAAGGCCATCACCAAGGACCGCCTGTACGGCACGCTCGACTCGACCACGCGCGAATGGACGGACGGTTTGTTCACGCATGCCTTGCGCAAGATTGTTGACGATGTGCGCAACGAGTCGTCCAAGCGCCACTGGATTGTGTTTGATGGTGACGTCGATCCCGAGTGGGTTGAAAACCTCAACTCGGTGCTCGACGACAACAAGCTCCTCACGCTGCCGAACGGTGAGCGTCTGAGCATTCCGCCGAACGTGCGCATCATGTTTGAGGTCCAGGATTTGCGCTACGCGACGCTGGCCACCGTCAGTCGCTGCGGCATGGTCTGGTTTAGCGCCGACGTGCTCACCATGGACATGGTCTTTGACCAGTTCTTCCGCAAGCTGCGCGTCGTTTCCCTCGATGATGAGGCTGGCGAAGCGGGAGCCATCAGCAGCAGCGCCCAGGCCGCCGCGAGTGGCTCGTCGGACGACAAGCAGCTGCTCGTTTCTCCGACCATGCAAGTGCAACGCGACGCCGCCGACGTGCTGGCGCCGCACTTTGCTCCCGGCGGTCTGGTGCTCAACGCCCTCGATTACGCCGCCAAGCAAGAGCACATTATGCCCTTCACCCGCCTGCGCGCCCTCGGCTCGCTCTTTAGCATGCTCAACAAGACGGTGCGCAACGTCATTTCGTACAACTCTGCGCACCCCGACTTCCCGATGGAGCAGCAGCGCATTGAGCAGTACGTGTCGCGGCGCCTCGTCTACTCGCTCGTGTGGAGCTTGGCTGGTGACGCTCGTTTGAAGGTCCGCCAAGAGCTCGGCGAGTACATTCGCGGCGTCACGACCATTGGCCTGCCTCCGGCCGCCAACAACCAGCCCATCATTGACTACGAGGTTGGCATCAACGGCGAGTGGGTGCTCTGGCAGGGCAAGGTGCCTCAGATTGAGATTGACACGCACCGCATTGCCACGGCCGACGTGGTCGTGCCGACCATGGACACGGTTCGGCACGAGGATCTCTTGTACACGTGGCTGGCCGAGCACAAGCCGCTTGTGCTTTGCGGTCCCCCCGGCTCTGGCAAGACCATGACCCTGTTCTCTGCACTTCGTGCTCTGCCCGAGCTCGAGGTCGTGGGCCTGAACTTTAGCAGCGCCACCACCCCCGAGCTGCTTCTCCGAACGCTCGACCACTACTGCGAGTACAAGCGCACGCCGAACGGCATGGTCATTTCGCCCATCCAGCCTGGCAAGTGGCTCGTCTTGTTCTGCGATGAAATCAACTTGCCCGATCTCGACAAGTACGGCACCCAGCGCGTCATTTCCTTCCTCCGCCAGCTGGTTCAGCATGGCGGCTTTTGGCGCACGTCCGACCACACGTGGATTCAGCTCGATCGCATCCAGTTTGTCGGCGCCTGCAACCCGCCCACCGACCCTGGCCGCAAGCCCCTCACCGAGCGCTTCCTCCGCCACGTCCCCGTCGTGCTGGTTGACTACCCTGGGCCCGCCTCGCTCTCGCAAATCTATGGCACCTTCAACCGAGCTCTGCTGCGTCTTGTTCCCACGCTTCGCAGCTTTACCCAGCCGCTCACCGAGGCCATGGTCGAGTTCTTCACCCTGTCGCAGGAGCGCTTTACGGTCGACCAGCAGCCGCACTATGTGTACTCGCCTCGTGAGTTGACGCGCTGGGTCCGCGGCATGTACGAGGCCATCCTGCCGCTCGACTCGCTGCCGCTGGAAGGCTTGGTGCGCGTGTGGGCCCACGAAGCTCTGCGTCTCTTCCAAGACCGTCTCGTCACGGACGAGGAGCGCCGCTGGACGGACGAGACGGTGGACGCGGTTGCCGCCAAGCACTTCCCCACCATCAACATGCAGACAGCCCTCGCTCGTCCCATTCTGTTTAGCAACTGGCTCTCGAAGGAGTACGTCTCGGTCGAGCGCGAGACGCTGCGCGAGTTTGTCCGCGCTCGCCTGCGCGTCTTTTACGAGGAGGAGCTCGACGTGCCGCTCGTCCTCTTCAACGAGGTGCTCGACCACGTTCTGCGCATTGACCGTGTCTTCCGGCAAATGCAGGGCCACATGCTCTTGATTGGTGCGTCTGGCGGTGGCAAGACCACCCTGTCCCGCTTTGTCGCCTGGATGACGGGTCTGAGTGTCTTCCAAGTCAAGGTGCACAACCGCTACACGGGTGCCGACTTTGAGGAGGATTTGCGCGAGATTCTGCGCCGCTCGGGCTGCAAGGGCGAGCGCATGTGCTTTATTCTCGACGAGTCCAACATTCTCGATGCCAGTTTCTTGGAGCGCATGAACACGCTGTTGGCCAACGGCGAGGTCCCCGGTCTGTTTGAGGGTGACGAGTTTACCACGCTCATGGCCCAGTGCAAGGAAGGCTCGCAACGCGAAGGCCTGATGCTCGACTCTCAAGAGGAGCTGTACAAGTGGTTTACTCACCAGGTCATGAAGAACCTGCACGTCGTCTTTACCATGAATCCCTCCGCCGAAGGGCTCAAGGACCGCGCCTCGACCTCGCCTGCCTTGTTCAACCGTTGCGTCCTGGATTGGTTTGGCGACTGGTCCTCTGAAGCTCTCTTCCAGGTTGGTCGCGAGTTTACCATCAAGCTCGATCTCGATTCGTCGAGCTACCAGGCGCCGCCAGAGCACCTCTTCCCGATTGTGGCTGGCGTCCCTGCTCTGCCCTCGCCCACTCTTCAACGCGACGCCATCTCGAACGCGTTCGTGCACGTCCATCGCGCCGTGAGCGAGGCTTCGGAGCGTTTGCTGCGTCGCACCGGACGCACCACCTTCATCACGCCGCGCCACTACCTCGATTTCATCAACCACTACGTCGAGCTGTTCACCGAGAAGCGCACCGAGCTGGAGGAGCAGCAGCTCCATCTAAACGTCGGTCTGTCCAAGATTCGCGAGACGGTCGACCAAGTGGAGGAGCTGCAAAAGAGCCTTGCCATCAAAAAGACCGAGCTCGAGGCCAAGAACGAGCTCGCCAATGTCAAACTCCAGCAAATGGTCCGCGACCAGCAGGAGGCCGAGACCAAGCGTGTCACGTCGATCGAGCTCCAAGCCGCGCTCGAAGAGCAAGAGAAGGTGATTACCGTCAAGCGCGCCTCTGTTCTTGCCGACCTCTCGCAGGTCGAGCCGGCCGTTCGCGATGCCCAGAGCGCTGTGCAGTCCATCAAGAAGCAGCATCTCACTGAAATTCGCTCCATGGCCAACCCGCCGGAAATGGTCAAGCTCGCCATGGAAGCCGTCTGCGTCCTGTTGGGCGAGTCCAAGCTGGACTGGAAGGATTTGCGCGGTGTCATCATCCGCGACGACTTTATTCCCAGCATTGTCAACTTTAAGACCGAGGACCTCAAGGACTCGACGCGCGTGCGCATGCAGAAGGAGTTCTTGTCCAACCCGAGCTTCAAGTTTGAGACGGTCGACCACGCCAGCAAGGCCTGCGGTCCGCTCGTCAAGTGGTGCATTGCTCAGGTTGGCTACGCCGACATGCTCCGTCGCATCGAGCCCCTTCGCAACGAGCTGGCCAGCCTCGAGAGCGCCGCGACGGCCAACAAGTCGAGCGCCGCCCAAACCAACCAACTCGTCCAAAACCTCGAGGCCTCCATCAACAAGTACAAAGAAGAGTATGCTGTGCTCATTGCCCAGGCCCAGTCCATCCGCCAAGAGATGGAGACGGTCAAGGCGAAGGTGGAGCGTTCCATCGCCCTGCTCGGCTCGCTCTCGAGCGAGCGCACTCGTTGGGAGCTCGAAAGCGAGCAATTCCGCTCACAAATGAGCACCATTACTGGCGATGTGCTGCTGGCTGCAGCCTTCTTGGCGTACTCTGGCTATTTCGATCAGCAGCACCGTCTGGCGCTGAACGTCAACTGGTCGAGTCATCTGCAGCAGGCTGGCATCCAGCACCGCATGGACCTTTCGCTCACCGAATTCCTCTCGACGGCGGACGAGCGCGCACGGTGGCAGGCCAACGCCCTGCCGTCCGACGATCTCTGCACGGAAAACGCCATCATGCTGCGTCGCCACCACCGCTACCCGCTCATCATCGACCCGTCCGGCCAGGCGACCAAGTTCCTGCTGAACGAGTTTTCGGCGCGCAAGATGACCAAGACGTCCTTCCTCGACGAGGGCTTCCGCAAGCAGCTCGAGTCGGCGTTGCGGTTTGGCAACCCGCTTTTGGTGCAGGATGTGGAAAACTACGACCCCATCCTCAACCCCGTTCTCAACCGCGAGCTGCGTCGCGCTGGAGGCCGTATCCTCATCCGTATCGGCGATCAGGACATTGACTTTAGCCCCACCTTTGCCATCTTCCTGACCACCCGCGACCCGACCGTGCAGTTTGCCCCGGACATTTGCTCGCGTGTCACGTTTGTCAACTTTACCGTCACCCCCAGCAGTCTGCAAGGCCAGTGTCTCAACCAAGTGCTGCGCTCGGAGCGGCCCGACGTCGACCAAAAGCGCTCGGATTTGCTCAAGTTGCAAGGCGAGTTCCGCCTGCGTCTGCGCCACCTCGAAAAGGAGCTGCTGCGCGCGCTCAACGAGTCCAAGGGCAAGATCCTCGATGACGACTCGGTCATTACAACCCTGGAAACGCTCAAGGGCGAGGCTGCCGATATTGCCAAGAAGGTGCTCGAGACGGACGTGGTCATGGCCGAGGTTGAGCGCGTGTCGAACGAATACCGCCCCCTCGCGCTTGCCTGCAGCTCCATTTTCTTCACTCTGGACAACCTCAACCAAGTGCACTTTTTGTACCAGTACTCGCTCCAGTTCTTCCTGGACATTTTCCGCCATGTGATTTCGCCCCAAGAAAACACGCATCTGCAAGGCATTACCGACCACGCCAAGCGTCTCGACGTGCTGACGCATGATCTCTTCTCGGTCTTGTTCGACCGTGTGTCGCGCGGTTTGCTCCACGACGACCGCATCGTCCTGGCGCTCTTGCTCGCACGCATCCGTCTGTCGGGCACGCCCAACCAAATTGACGACACTGCGTTCGAGGTCTTGCTTCGCGGTCTTGAGAGCCCCGTTGCTGCCGGTGCTGCCGGTGGCGCCCTCGCTGGCTTTAGCGACGAGCAAAACACGCGCTTCCGCAACCTCAGCTCGGTGTCCTTCTTCAAGGAGGCCGTTCAGGGTGCCGGTCACCATGCAGCCGAGTGGTCGTCGTACGTTGCTGCCCCCGCTCCAGAGACATTGCTCCCCACTGGCATTGTTCCGGCCACTGGCAAGGCCACTGTGGACGGCTTCAACAACCTGCTGCTTGTGCGCGCCTTGCGTCCCGACCGCCTCGTGTCTGCCAGCTACCACTTTGTCTCGAGCGTCTTTGGCGACGACTTTATGCAGATTGCCGAGCGCGATGTCGACCTGGCCAATGTTGTTGAGCGTGAAGTCAAGGCCAACACGCCCATTCTGTTGTGCTCGGTGCCCGGCTACGACGCCTCTGGCCGTGTCGACGATCTCGCTGCCTTCAAGGTCAAGCGCTGCGCGTCGATTGCCATTGGTTCGGCCGAAGGCTTTGCTTTGGCCGAGAAGGCCATTGCCTCTGCCGTCCAGACTGGCGACTGGGTGTTGCTCAAGAACGTGCACCTGGCGCCATCCTGGCTTGTCACGCTCGAAAAGAAGATGCACGCCGTGACTGCCCATGCCAACTTCCGCCTCTTCCTGACGATGGAAATCCACCCCAAGACCCCACTGTCCCTCGTGCGCCAGTCCCGCGCGTTCATGTTTGAGCTGCCGCCTGGCATCAAGGCCAACATGCTCCGCACGTTCTCGTCGGTGCCTTCCGCGCGCATGGCTGCCCAGCCCACCGAGCGAGCGCGCCTCTATTTCTTGACTGCGTGGTTCCATGCCGTCGTGCAGGAGCGTCTGCGCTACGCCCCGCTTGGCTGGTCGAAAAAGTACGAGTTTACCGAAACGGACTTGCGCGGTGCGATCGACACTCTCGACACTTGGCTGGCCATTGTGTCGCCGCCCAGCCAAGGCCGCACCAACATTTCGCCCGACGCTATTCCGTGGGAGGCGATTCGCACGCTGCTGGCTCAGTCCATCTACGGTGGTCGCATTGACAATGAGTTTGACCAGCGGCTGCTCCAGTCCTTCCTGTCGGTCCTGTTCACTCCTCGCAGCTTTGACGCCGATCACTCGCTCGTCCTGCCCGTCCCGGGATCGACCGAGCCTGGCGAGTCGGCGGCTGCCTTGGCGCACCTGCGCGTGCCCGACGTGACCAGCGCCGACCAGTTCCTCTCGTGGGTCAAGGCCTTGCCCGACACCCAGGTGCCGGCTTGGCTCGGCCTGCCCAACACTGCAGAGAAGGTCTTGCTGACCTCCCGCGGCGATCTTGTCATCTCCAAGCTGCTCAAGATGCAGTCCATGGACGAAGAGGACGAGATCCACGTCAAGGAAGGCAAGGGTGCCTCGACCGCTGCTGCTGCTGCTGCTGCTGCTGCCGATCCTCGTCCTGCATGGATGCGTTCGCTGCAGCACTCGGCCGAGCAATGGCTCGCGTCCCTGCCCAAGGCTGATCAGCTGCCCGCGCTGCGGCGTACCAGGGACAACATTAAGGATCCTCTCTTCCGCTGCTTTGAGCGCGAGGTCAACATGGGCATCCGCCTGCTTCGTCGCGTTACGGAGAACCTGCAGCATGTGGTGGAGGCGTGCCAGGGCAAGCGCAAGCAGACCAACAATCTGCGCCTGCTCATGAGCGACTTTACCAAGGGTCTCATTCCCGCTGACTGGAACAAGTATGTTGTTCCTCTCGGCCTCACGGTCAACCAGTGGATTGTCGACTTTGTGGAGCGCATCAAGCAGCTCCAGTCCATTGCGGTTTCGTCCGACCTGCGTCGCCAGACCATTTGGCTCGCCGGCTTGTTTGTGCCCGAAGCGTACATTACCGCCACGCGCCAGTTTGTCGCTCAGGCGAACAAGTGGTCTTTGGAAGAGCTCCAGCTCGAGATTGATGTTGCCGGCGGCGCTGCTGCTGCTGCTGCTGGCCCGGGCGCTTCGCTCGACGAGCAGAGCTTCCTGTTCAGCGGCCTGAAGCTGGAGGGTGCCAAGTGCGAGCAGAACGAGCTCAGCCTCGCTGTCAGCTCTGTCACTAGTCTGCCTGTTGCCAAGATGAGCTGGGTCCGTGCCACCCCGTCCGCCTTTGCCGAGGCTGCCCGTGGCCAAGGCAAGGTCAACCTGCCCGTCTACCTCAACACGACGCGCTCCAACCTCCTGTTGACTGTGTTCATCAAAGCTCCCCAAGGTGTCACCGAGGATGTCTTTTACCAGCGCGGTGTTGCCATTCTCTGCTCGTCATTGAAGGGCGCCATTTAAGTCTGTGGTTGCGCTGTTTGTTTTTTTTTTTTTTTTTTTTTTGTGTGTGTGTGTGTGTGTGTGTGTGTGTGTGTGTGTGTGTGTGTGTGTGTGTGTGTGTGTGTGTGTGTGTGTGTGTGTGTGTGTGTGTGTGTGTGTGTGTGTGTGTGTGTGTGTGTGTGTGTGTGTGTGTGTGTGTGTGTGTGTGTGTGTGTGTGTGTGTGTGTGTGTGTGTGTGTGTGTGTGTGTGTGTGTGTGTGTGTGTTTGATGGCTGGCGTTGTGTTTGTGTTGCATGCGTGATTTGTTATCTGACCAAAAAACCCAAATCAAAATGCCTTTGTGATGTCCGAAAGCAAATCTTTGCGTCATTTTCGTCAGCAGTGACAGCGGAAACATGTGTATTTTTTTGCCAGAGTCGACAACGAAAACACTCAATAACAGCGACGCAACACGGAAATTATTCGTCCTCGTCCTCGTCGTCCTCCTCTTCTTCGTCGCGGTTGGCAAACACATCCAGCTCGTCTCGTGGCAAAACGAGACCGGCCTTGCGTCGCTCGACAGCCTCCTTGGCAACAAGCTTGGTAGTGTACTTGTGTTGGGTCTTGGCACGAACGGCCGCGCGAATCTGGTTTTCGAGATGCAGCGTTTGAGCGTGTGCTGTACAGCAAACAAGCGCGTCATCCGATGCACGTGATGGACTTACCTCGTTGGGGGAAACGTAGTCGGGATTTTCAAAGATTGTCGCACCGCCAAAGCTGCCATCAAAGATGCGGATTGTGTTCAGGACAAAACGGGGTCCGACTTCGTTCAGGGTGGTCTCGACCTCCTTGTCTTCGTTGACTTGGTCGATAATCTGTAAGAGGAAGCAAGTTAAAATGTTAGTCAAAATGGGGGAGGGGGGGGGGTTGTGGCTGGTTGATGCAAACGAAAAACGCCGAAACACGCGCCTGGAAATTGCGGAACCAAACACGGTTGTCAACAATGCTGAACGTAAAAACGTGGTCAAAGAATGGTTTGCTCTTGGGGTGACCCTTGGGTGTGCCAAAGACCTGAAGCAACAAAAAAGAACGTCAGTTGAGGCAAAGCGAGGAGGGGCGTGCGAACGCCAAAGAAGAAAGGAAGAAACAAACAAAAAAACCAAAAAAAAAAACCCAAAAAAAACTGTCCGCACCTGAGTGAAAATCTCCTTGAGCAACTGCAGGTGCGGTGCGGTTTCAAAGTTCTTATCGAACGACAAAAGTGGTCGTGTGCCCTTCAAGCAGTTGCCAGTCATGCGAAGCTCGTCCATGGTGTTGACTGCAGAGGTTGTTTGATTTGTGAGTCCCAGCAACTATCAATGGCTCTCTTCAAGTTTGTTCAACTGCACATATTGGTGGTACTCACTGCTGTCAATGTGGAACTTGACGGACGGGCCGCTGGGGGTCTTGGCAAGCCATAGGTAGGCGTCCTGCTTTTTGCGCGTCTCGAGGTAGATGCAGTTGTTGCAGTTCTTGAGTTCGCACACCTCGTTGACAAGAACCAGCTTGTCCTTCTTGTCCATCTTGACGTCTGACGGAGGTGGAGGGAGAGAGAGAGTGTAAGAAACATGCCAACGTGAGATGATTGGTGACAACAATGCCCGGTGATGATCAAGCAGGGGAGCTCGTCCCTCACCTTTCTTGCTGTGGGGCATCAGTGTACGAAGATCGTTGAGCAGGTGGCGGGATCTGTCGTGATTAGAACAAAGCAGCAAGTCAGCAATTGGGCCACCGAGCAAAATCCATGCAACGCGCTCCAGTCAGTGTCGGTTGAACGAGTGTGCGTGTGTTTTGTTTTGCTGTGAACAGTGACATTCATGTCACAAAAGGTCTACATCGACGACCTGACAATGGATGCTTTGGTTGCACAGGTGCGGACTTTGCATTGGACTTTCCCACATGGCTCGACTGCCATTGCATTGCCTTGCATTGCATTGCTTCTGATCGTCCCAAAAGCGCGACTCACCGGTAAGTGACTCCGCGGGACGACAGCACGAGCGTGCGTTGCTTGTTCGTCCAGCGCGCAGTGCCTGCAGTGCCTGACGCGGGAAGGGCCTTGGCGATCTCGCTCTTGGACGACGGGACGGATGATGAAGCGTTGCTCTCCTCCAAGCGCGCCTTCTTGCTCTGCTGCTGCTGCTGCTGCTGCTGCTGCTTCTTGCTGTTGCCTTTGTTAGACACGGCAGCAGTAGCAGTAGTCGCAGCGGGAGTCGCGTTGGCCTGCTGCTTCTTGCCCTTCTGCTTGGCTGGAACGGGCGCCTCGTGGCGATCCCCGTCGTCCTCGTCCTCGTCCAGTGCAGCGTGCGTCGCGGTGCGCTTGGCTGTCCGTGCCGGCGCAGATGACGACGATGATGATGCGCTCTGCTTGTTGGATGATGATGATGGGTGTGACGATGCGGCCTTGTTGCTGCCGGCCTTTGCCAGGATGGCGTTCGGGTGTGGCGTCGGTTGTCGCTTGAGTGCTGGCATGGATGGACGATGATGGAAAAGAAGACTGATACTGAGGGTATGAGTGTGTGATCTCATGTCAGTCCTGACGATCTCATACACAAAACATACATCTGGGCCGCTGTGAGGAGCTTCTGGAACTTGCCAAAACGACGGGGCTGAGCCGATTTCCCGCTTGCTTTAGCAGGCGCATGCATTGCGAAAAAAAAGTCGCCCGATGTTTGTCGGCTGTTGATGGAGGGGGGGGGGGAAATCCTGTCAAACCGCTTCCAAAAAAAAAAACCGCCGCTCAGACAATCCTGTCAAAATCACTCTTACTTTGTGCTCACTCACCATGCGCAATCGTTCTGTTGCGGTCTCTGCGCTCGCGACGGTGCTCGTGCTTGCATGTGCGAGCGCCGTCCAAGCAGAGTACGTCGAGCAGCGTCCAGGCTACCACTTCACTCCGCCAGAGGACTGGATGAACGACCCGAACGGGCCCATGTACCTCAACGGATTGTACGTTCGTTCTCCTCGCTCTCTCGCTAGATTCCACACCACCCCCCGCTCCCTGCATCCATCCGCATTGTTGCTGCTGCTGCTGCTGCTGCTGTTGCTGCTGTTTTGCTTTCATCGTGCTCATGTTGACTCACCCGCACATTCGTTTGCTCTGTGTGGCTTGGCTTGGTCATCAAATTCAGGTACCATTTGTTTTACCAGTCGAATCCGTTCGACCCGTGGTGGGCCACCATGCACTGGGGCCACGCCGTCTCAACCGACCTCTTCCACTGGCAGCATCTCCCCATTGCACTCAGTCCCGACCAAACGTAAGCCACCAGCAGCAGCAGCCCAGCAACAACAACAGGACGCACGAAGCCGTTCCCAGCAGATTTCGGTTTTGGTTTTGGTTTTGGTTTTCCATTTTATTTTTTTGAACAGGGTCTCTTTTGGCTGCCAGTTGCGCAGAGTGGTCCCCCATGATGACCATGTGTGTGTGTATGGGTGTGTGCGTATCCGTGGTCTGTTGGAGGATTCCGTGTGCTCAGAATCGGTCAACCAGCGCAAACTTGAAGCAAAACCGAATGTGCGACCCTTTTTTTTTTTTTTTTTTTTTTTTTTTTGTTTGTTTGTTTGTGATCACAGTTTCTCTCTCCTCGAACACCAGAGAAAGAGAGACAAAGAGAGAGAGAGAGAGAAAACAAAAAGACACAGCATCAGTGAAGTTTGAGGGGAAAGCGAAAAGACACACTTCCCTCAAAACAACCAATTCTTGAATTTCACTTTGTTTGTATTTGCAACCGATCGTAGGTACGATGCGAACGGCGTCTTCTCTGGAAGTGCTACCATCATTGAGGACGGAATGCCAGTGCTCATGTACACGGCAGTCGATGATTCGGTAACTCGAAAAATTGCAGATTGACGCTTGCTTGCTTGCGTTTTGTATTTTATTATTTTTTTTTTGGTGCATTTTGCAGCTCTTGGTCTCCTGATTTTGTTGGACGGCGTGTTAATTCTCTCTTTTAATTCTGGGGGCGTGTGTGTGGAATTCTGACAGAACTTTGAAACACAAGCGGTCGCCTACCCGGCCAACATCAGCGATCCGTTCTTGACCAACTGGACGAAACCGTACTTCAACCCGATTGTGCCTGACGGCATCTTGCCTGACTTTGTCGACCCTTACAATGTGCGCGATGACACGACTGCGTGGAATGGGAACGGCGGCGCTTGGTTTGCCCTGATTGGAGCCAAGCTCGACTACCCAAACACGACAAACGTCAACGTCTCGTACGGCGGCGCCCTGCTTGTCACGTCGGCAGCCTACGGTGGCTTGAGCAAATGGGAGTACGTCAAGGTCTTCCACACAAACACGTATGGTGGAGATATGTGGGAGTGCCCTGACTTTTACCCCGTCAACCGGTCGGATCCCAACTCCCTTTGGGTCATGAAGGCATCGGCCAATGGCGGCGATACTTGGGCGACCTTCCACTACTCTCCGGCGTCGCAAAAACTGACTCTGGCCAGCAACGATATTGCCTACGACGAGTACCAGGCGTACGATCTCGGCTGGTCGTTCTACGCGTCGAAATCCTTCTACGACCCGCTGATCCAGAGCCAAGTCGTGTTTGGATGGCTGCGTGAGGAAGACAACGATGCAACGACGCGCGGCTGGGCCTCTGCGCAAACTGTGCCCCGTGTTGTCTCCCTGGACACGGACGGTGTTTCCATCCTCCAAAACCCGCACCCCAACATTTTGTCGCTTCGCTCGAACAATGTCACCTACACCAACCTGCCCGTGTCCTCCAACATGCCGTATCGCCTTCCGCTCATTGCCGACCAAGCGGACATTGAGTTTTCCGTCAGCCTCCCGTACCCGCTGCCTTCGTCGGAGATTGAGCGCGTCATGACACCCGAAATGGTGCTCAAGCGCTACAACATGACTGTCTCGAACGACTCTATCATTTATGGTGTCAACGTGCGCGTGTCGAACGGGGGCGAAGAGTCCACGCCGCTCTACTTTGCCATCGACCCCTCCGCGCTCTCTGCGGATGCCATCGCCAAGGCCGCGCCCGCCAGCCCATTCATTGCGCAGTTTGGCTTTACGCGCACATCGAGCTCTCAGACCAACCAGGGCAGCACCACCCCCATCAACGGCCACGTCAAGGTTGACCGCCCGACCGGCTCGCAGGGCTCGATCACCTTCTCGATGCGCGCTCTGGTCGACCACTCGGTTGTCGAGGTCTTTGTTCAGGGTGGACGCGTGCGCGCCACCGGTCGCATCTACCCCGTCCGTGCCGACTCGATGTTTATCGAAGTCTTCTCCGAGCAAACGATCGCCTCGCAGAGCATCAACATTAAGGCATACCAGCTGCTGGACTCGATGCCTGCGCCGCCGATTCCGTAATCTCACGTGTGGGGCAAGCGTGGGCTTTCGTTTTCGTTTTTGTTGTTTGTTCTCAGCTTTTTTTTTTTTGTGTGTTTTTCCACCCTTTTGTTTTTTGTTGGTTGGTTCTGCCATGTTGATAGCTCTTCGTGTCCCAAATCTTGGGGCGTTTTTTTTCTCTGCGGTTTGTTTGCCGGTGGATGTTGTGTGCTCAAACTTGAATGCGCAATGACTGTAATTAGAGACAACAACAACAAGAAAAAAAAAAAAAAAAAAAACACACACACACACTTCAAAACACAATGACCCACTACTCCTTGGGTCGCTTTTCAGCGTGCTTTTTGATGTGCTCTTCGACGTTCTTGACAAACTTTTTCTTGTCGGTTGTCAAGACTTCAGCGACCTCGGTGTTTAGAGGATCGGCAGCGTTCGGCTCGTTGACGAGATCGACGAGCGCCGAAAGGACTAAGAGGACAACAGGAAGAGGGAAGCGAGGTGAGTGACAACAAAAAGCACCACAACCACACCCAAGGCAAGGAGAAAAACGCCTGAAACAAAAAAAAAGAAGAAGAAAAAAAAAAGGAAGGCAAAAACAACCAAACAGCACAAACCTTGATCAATCCTGGTCGCGGGCTTCCACGCCTCAGACTTGAGCAGACCGATGCAAATCACTCCGGATTCGTCCACGTTCGGGTGGTAGATTTTGGTCAAGAAGGTGACCTTCGGGGGCTTGAAGGGGTACTCTGAGGGGAAGGTGATGGAGATTTTGAAGGCTCCCTTGTTGTATGGAGCAACGTCCTGTCACAGCACAGCACAGCACAGCACAAAATGAGCATTCTTTTTGGGTTTTGTTGTTTGCTTTTGGTTCGTGTTCTTGTTCTGGTTGCCATATCACTCACCGGGACGAGCAGTGCTTCCCAAGCGAGGACGTTCGTCTCGTCGATGGTTACGTTGCGCACAGTGGACTTGATCAGCTCGTTGCCTTGCAGCTCTTCAAACTCCTACTCCATCAAGATGGATGATGATATTCACGTCAGTAATCAGTAATGGTCATCAACACGATGAGTGCGATTGTGTAACGCGATGCGGATGGATGTGTGTGGAGAGAGAGACAGAGAGTTGATCCAAACGTGCAAAGTCCAAGTCAAGTTCCAAGCTGTTTCCCCCGGCCCCCCCCACACACAGTGCTCAGTGTCATCGCTTGTGTTGCTTGCTTGCTCGTGCATTGTGTGCATGGAGGTTGACCGCCTTCAAACAGACAGCACAGTTGAAGCTGACAGTGAAAATCAATCCTTTCCTTTTAGGCTTTTTTCTCTTTCTTTCTCTCTTTCTCGTCTTCATCCGCTTTGTTTCTCTTTCGCAGCAGATCAAACAAGCATTCATAACGCTATTTTGTTCGTTCGTCATTTTGTCAACATTTGCTTCAAACACGACCCCACAAAAAGCCATAGAATCCAAAAGCAAGCCAAATCCAACGTCATCGTTTCCCTTTTTTTTCTCTTTTTTTCTCTCGTTCTTTAGCTTTCCTTCGCTTCGTCTGCTTCGTCTGTTTCGTTCGTTCGTTCGTTCGTTCGCTTTATATTGCTTTGTGTTGCTTTTTGGGGTTTTTGGGGTTTTTGGGTTTTTGGGGGTGGTGAAGAGCGATCGAAAGGCGGACCTTCACAAGTCGCCGAGAAGCCATTGTTGTTTGCTTTGTAAGAAGGCGGGAAAAAGGATGACTGAGACACTAAGACCCTCGATATATCTACCTCGACTTAGACTGCACACACAATCGGCTGGACCCTCTTCGAAGAAGCCGGTTGTGCGGATCGACTTCCCACACATTTTACACTGTGTTTGAAGCTTGTGTGAGCAAGTAGTTCAGTTTCAGCCATCGTCCATTCCACTGTCGGATGATCAGCTCTGTTGACGTTGCTTTTATTTGCTTGGTTGTTGAATTTTGTTTACTCTTTTTGTTTTTTTGTTTGTGTGTTCCAGTCCTGCATTTCTCAGAACAGCAACCAAAAATGGCACCTGGGCACAAGCACAAGAAGGACGCTGCCACTCCTGAACCCCAATCATCATCACCATCACCATCATCACCATCACCATCATCGCCATTGTCGCCGGCTTCGTCTGTGCGCGCGGCGGCAATGCTGGACACGTCGGGATCGGACTCGGACGGCAAGCGGTTTGACTCGCTCGAGTCCATGTGGCGCGCGTACGGCCTGCCCGAGCAGCAGTGCGTGCCAGGCTCGCCCATCAAGCCAAAGAGCACTCCATCTGCATCAGCGAGCACGAGCGACGGCGATGGCCAGGAGGCAGTCCTCCCCGCCGCCGCCGAAGCTTCAACAAGCAATCCGCCCAACCAAGGCGACGACGGCGCAGCAGCAGAGCCTGCAGCCACGCCGCGGTGGTACACGGACGCCAAGGACTACTGGGACAAGGTGGACACGACCATTGACGGGATGCTCGGCGGGTTTGCGCGGATCTCGCCCATCGACGTCGAGGGCTCCAACGCCTTCCTCGGCCCGCTCATCCGGGGATCCAAGGCCAAGACGGCGCCGCACAGGGCGCTCGATTGTGGTGCTGGTATTGGACGCGTCACAAAGCACTTTTTGCTGCCAAACTTTGAGACGGTCGATCTCGTCGAGCAGTGTGGCAAGTTCCTCACCGCGTCCATCAAGTACATTGGCTCGGACCGCGTTGGAAGCCGCTTTTGCGCCGGGTTGCAGGACTTTGTTCCCGAGCGACAGCACTACAATGTTATTTGGGTGCAGTGGGTGTCCTCGCACCTGACCGATGGTACGGCGGGCCATTCGTTTCTTGGCGAGATGTTGTTTGTTTTGCGTTTGCTTTTTTTCGTTGTTGTCGTGCATCGACCCTCACGTGTGTTTGCATTTGCATGTGCCGTAGACGACTTTGTGGCCTTTTTCAAGCGATGCCAGTCCGCGCTCGTCCCTGGTGGCCTTATTTGCGTCAAGGAGAATACAACAAAGTCCGGATTCCTGGTCGATGCTGAAGACAGCAGTGTTACTCGGTATGGGCGTGTCATCCGGAGACCTGATCGTTCAACGTGGCCAATGTATGATTGCTGACTTTTTTTCTTTCTTGTCGATGGCGTGTAGCTCGGACGAGCTCTTTAAGGCGCTTTTCGAACGCGCAGAGCTCGACATTATCAAGGAAGACACTCAGCAACGATTCCCCAAAGCCCTATTCAAAGTCAAAATGTGAGTCGTATGCTCGATCGTCTTGTCCCGCTCCCGCGGCTTGAATAAGAGATGGCTGGCGTTGCTGACTTGGTGATTTTCATGTTTGATCCTCGACTAGGTATGCGCTCCAGCCACGAAGCACGCCCCAACAAGCTCAATCAAGTCAAGTGCTTGTAACAGAGACTGTGACAAGTCAGTCTTCCCCAATGCAACAATAAACGCATTGCACAGGGCGCTTTTGACAGAATCAGAACAAAACAAACTCTTCATTCGTTTTGTTCAAAAACTACAATGCACTTTTGTCTCGCACTCTGATACACTTTGAAACGACAATCAGCCAACAAACATCAATCCACAGCCCCCACTTCAAAGCTGAAGCTGCTGGTAGGTCCGCCAAAGAACATCCCCAATGTGTGACTCAATCTTGAACGTCGCAATGTCATCGGCGCGCGTTGCTCCGATGTTGATAATGCCGATGGGCTTGCCAAGCTCCTGTGCATACTTGGCAAAGCGAAACCCGGAAAAGACTGTCAACGATGAACCGACGACGAGGAGCGCGTCGGCGTCACGGATTTTCTGGCGCGCGAGTTCGACCGTTTCCGCTGGAACGTTCTCGCCAAAGAACACAACATCAGGCTTGAGTAGCCCACCGCACTTGGAGCAATCGGGAAACTGGAAGGAGCTATAGATGGATCCGGCATCGACCAGATTCACATCGCCGTCGGGAGTAAATCCAGTGATTGTGGCAGACCACTCGGCATTGAGCCGCTCGAGTACCACCTGCCAACGAGTTACATTTGTTTCCCATCAGCAAACGGCGAGTTAGAGCGGATCAGACTTCCCCGTCCCCCCCCCCCCTTCATCTTCCGGGGCTTTTGGCTTGCACCATACCTGAAGATCAGAACGGCGTGTCCGATCACGACAAGACAAACAAACAACCTCGCTGCCGTTGCCGTGGAGCTCCAGCACGTGTTTGCTTCCCGCGTGCGAGTGCAGCGAATCCACATTTTGAGTGATGATGAAGTTGATCTTGCCCGTCTCCTCGAGCCGTGCAAGCACATCGTGGGAAATGTTTGGTCGCGTTTGAGCAAACGAAGGAAAAGCAGCGTAGTTTCGAGCCCAGTATCGCCGTCGCTTTGTTTCGCTCATGACGAATTCGCGGAACTGCGTGGGTTTGTGTGACGAAGTGACATACAAGCCCACTAGCCAACGAGCAGCAAATTAGCAAAAAATAGTAAAGAGAATCACGAAAAGCTAAAAGATACCAACTGATCAAAAGCCCCCATCGTCCATACCTCCAGGCGATCGGTAATCTGGGACGCCGGACTCGGTGGATATTCCTACAAGTCAAAGACAAGGCGAGCGCCACCACCAGTGAATATGAATGTCGGATCAAGCTGTTTTTTGTTCCAATACGCAACTCCAAGGTTGAGCTTTCGTACCTGCGCCGGTCAATACGACAATCTTGGGTGCCTGTTCAATAAATTCGGCTAGTTGCTGGATTTGCTCGTCTGTGGCCCGTGCACTCTGAGGCATTGTTTTCGTTGGATCGAGCGTCATGAGCGGCAGTCGCTCCACTTGTTGCTGTTTCGCATCCGTCGCATTCGAGGACATTGAGTTGTATGTGAAAGCCAACCCGGCCACGCTGGAAAGGCCTCTTGTTCTTGTCAGATGCGCCTGTCCGAATGCCGATCGACGCTGTTGCCAGGACGCAGCAGCAGCAACAGCAGCTGAACCGGTGGTGATGACCGAAGTGGCCACAAACCTGGATGGAACCTTGTTTGGCTTTGGAAGTCTGCCGGCCGTACTCGTATGCGACTCGTGCAAGTGACTGGGCAGACTATTCGGCAAACTACGAGGCATGGTCGATGGTGCGGGACGGACAGCGCTGGCGTGCACTGAACGAGCCCCTGCGCCAAGCCGGTCAGAGCGACCTGCAAATCTGAGCGACCAGAGCATTGGGTGGATTTGGGAGACTGAGCCTGTTGTGATATTTGCTATTGTTGAGTAGAGCAATGGCAATGCGTTAAACTGTGCGTGAATGTGAAACAACGTTGATTCAAACAAACAAACAACAAAACAAATACGATAGGCAACAAAGAGGAGAATGTTCACCAGCAAGACAAAGCAACGAGGACAGCAACACACAAAAACACACACAGCATAAACCAACGACAACAATAAAACTCAAACACTCAGACCAAACCAAACTCTACAAGTCTGGGCCGCACCAAAAACCGATTGCTGTTCAAGCGCCAAGCAAATTGACGCACGCCAACAAACCAAACCAAGCAAAAAAACAGAACGGGCGGGACAAATCAGCAAGAATAAAAGCCCAAGCGGCGTTGCTCCAAGCAGGTCGACTTGTAAACCAGACTGAATCACTTGCTCTTCTTCTTGTCCTTCTCCTTCTCCTTGTCCTTTGCCTTTTTCTGCTCCTTTTTCAAGGCGTCCTCGTCTGCATTCGAGTAGACCGATTGCCGTCGATCAGAGATGGTGCTGGCAGTGGAGCCAGACCGTGACAGGGAATTGGCAGAAGTGGGAGTGGATGCACCAGAGCCGGGAGCGGAACCGGCGGCAGCGCCTCCTGCCTGCTGCTGCTGCTGCTCCATCATCAAGCGACGACGCTCGGCAAGCGGGTTGTACCGCTGGCCAGAACCCATTTTGCCCATGGTCGAGTACTTTTCAGCCAGCTGCACCTTGGCAAGCTCAACCTGGTCAATGTTGGCATCGCTCATCCGCCGAGGCGACGATGACATTGGGTTGACAAGCTGGCCTTCGTCGGACGAAACGGATGGCGAGCGCTCAATCTTGTGCGGCTCGACCAGATTGCCAGTGCTGGCACTCAGCGTGGCGAGCGAGTTGGCCAAGTTGGCTGCAGGCGCGAGCAGTCCGTTGTACATCGGGGAGGACACGCTCATCACGGGGGCCATGGCTCCTTGGTGAGAGGCCAGTGCCGCAGTTGGAGACAAAATCGCAGCCGAGGAGACGGTCGCGCTTGCAGTGCTTGGCGAAGGTGCAGAGACGAGTTGCGCTTGCGCCGGCACTGCAGAGTGCCTTGCCGACGTTGGCGTCGTTGAATTGGAGGCAGGACCGCTCGATGCTTCAGAGCTGCTCGCGGTCTGTGCGCCCGACGGCGGGCTCATGGCCGCGAAAATGCTCGACACGTGCGGCACCGATCGCGATTCACGTCCCGAATGTGTGCCCGCGACACCAAGCGTGCCCGTCTCGAAGAAATTTCGGCCAATGGTACCATGCGGCACCGGCGGGACTTCGGCTTCATGACGAGCGGAATCCGAGTCTACTCCGCAATGCCAAAAGGTGGAAGAAGAGGGGTTGTGAGATTGAAAGAATGGGTTGCGCGCTTGTCGTGATAGGACTGAAGAGTGAGCATGTACCTTTAAAGATGAGCTTTTCCCGCAGCCGGTTCTTGATGCGCAGCTCGAAAATGGAAGCCAATCTAAAGGAAAGGGAAGAGGAGGCGGGGTGGGAAATCAGTTTGTAGCCCTTCGGTCGATTGAGCAGTCCAGAAAAACCAAAACAAAACATACTGATTGCGATGGGTCCGGCGGTAGGCCTCATAGTGGATTTCGTGAGTAATGTCGCGCAGACGCTCAGCATGAACACTAACAAGGCAAAACGAGAAACACAACAGAATGAGTGAAAGGTGCAAAAAAAAAAAAATCAATGACAAATTCCTTCCATCACAAAGCGGCATACCCAAGAAGAAGGCGTTGAAGCAGCATAAAGTCGCTTTGGGCCTCGTTGACCACTGATACGAAGGAACAAGTGCACCGTGAGCAAAACTTTTCAATCCACCCACTTGCTACTTGAAAAAGAGACAAACCTGTGACAGCACCCCAGGAATACTGACGGCCAAGCACTTTCTTGTCGCCGACGGTGATTTCCTTGTCCGAGGAGAGGACACTGAGAGGAGACGGAATGGCCTATTTGAAGAACTTGAGGGTGAGTACCCCAAAAAGCATCCTAATTTCGACCATTTGAAACAAGCAGCAGTCTTACGTGTTCTTGCAAAACCCGCTCGTCAGCATCGTACGCAGAATGCTCGCCACCGGGGAACTTGTAAACGTGAATTCCATACTTGACAAACTCCGTCCGGAGCTGGGAATCACACAAAACGTCAGCTTTTGCAGTGCTTTTCTTCGTGCAGAGTCCAAAAAGCCGACGCTTTACCTTTTCGCGGAACTGCGCTCGCTCGGCAGGTGCCATGGAGTCTGCCCGGGCAATCACAGGAATAATGTTGACGCGCATTTGCAGCTTTCGCAGCACAATCAAGTCCGTTGACTTCAAGCCATGACCGGTCGGCGCGATGAAAAACAAGCACGCATGGATGCGCGAATCCCGTGGAAGGACGCGTCGGCCATCGCCAAACAAGCGGGCAAACTCAGAGTTCATAAACTCGTTATGTTGGTGGTCGATGAACTGGGTGATGGGTCGCCAGCTGTGAAAACGGAGCAATTCAGAAAAGGAACGAAGAAACAAATTGTTGGTTGAGCGATGGATGATCGTCTGTGAGTAACGCAAACAAAGCCGACCGCGCTGTTACCTCTCCTCGTCGTTGTTGACAAGATCTCCATAGCCAGGGGTGTCGGTGATGGTGAGATTGAGTTTGACGTTGTTTTCCTCGAGCACTGGAGCCAAGCAACAACAACAATAAAAAAAAAAAGCAAGTCCACAAACAAGTCAGCGTAAACCTCATTGCGGTAAAGGAACATTTTACGCTACATGATCAGGGACAAGAGAGATCCCAATCTCGCTGCATACCGTGCGTTGTCGTGGAAATCTCAACCGTCCGTCTGCTTGCAAGCGACGACTGGACGATGGGGTCTTGTGCTTGGGCCGAAGCGGCTGTGCGGAAGAAACTGCGTACAAACGTGCTCTTTCCAAGACCGGACTCGCCTGGCAGAATGATTTGTGGATGGATGAGCGTTCAGAAACAAACAAACAAACAAACAAACAAAACAAAGTTCGACAAAGCCTTCGAACGTACCGACAACAATCAGGTTGAGCGAGTGACCAATCTTGGACATCTTTTGCAGCAATCCTTGTGACAAACCGGCAATGCCGTGGGTGGGTGATGCCGAAAGGATGGCCGCTTGCTCGGCGGAAGCCTGCAATTCCGCAGCCTGCTTCTGCTTGATTGCCTGAGCGTCCTCTGCGCTGAAGGGGATAGAAGGATAGGTGCCGAGATGCTTGGCTTGGCGTTCGCGGATGGCGGCAACGAGGGCGAGCTCTGCTTCGTCGTCAGTCTCGGTGGAAGCAGCGCCTGCAGCACCTGCAGCGCCTGAGGTGTCGTTGCTTTCTCCGGACTGCGATCCCTCAGCGCCAAGCGACTCAAGAGAGTCGGGATCGGCATTGAGCGCAAGCGCCGACGCGCGCAGTTCCTTGCCGAGCATGACAAACGGCGCGGCATCGTCCATCTCGCCATCGGCGTCCTCGTCGTCTCCAGCGTCGTCGTCATCAACCTCGTCATCAAAGGTATCGTCAATGTTGGTTGTCTTGGGCATGCCCGTGGCGCCTGCAACCATTGCTGCCGCGGCGGCCATTGTGGCGGACGATGCGCGGCGCAACGGCTTTGAGCCCGGCGCGATGGGCGGAACATCCATATCATCGTCAAACGAGGTGACGTGCATGCCTCCGCCATGCTGCGTTTCAGCCCCAGTGTAGTTGCTCGTGGTGACGTCGTCGTCATCGTCCACCGACGATTCGTGCAGTGCCATTCGAGGATTCTGAGCGATCGCCTGGGCAATCGCAGACAGATTCACCTCGCTGCCGTCCAAGGCGTGGCTCGCTCGCAAGCTGCCCGACGTCGATCCCGAGTTGGACGCCGCGCTTCCCGACGTGCGCTTGCTTGTCACGCGGTTTTGCAGCTCGATCGCCTCGTCGACGTCCGACCCCGAGTAATCCTCATCGTCATCGTCTGCGTTATTGGCGGCGGATTGGCCACCGTCGCCGCCGCCGCTGCCGCCAGCCAGCGCGCCATCCGCCTGCGATGCGCCACCAGCACCATCACTGGGAATGCGGCTCTCTCGCTTGGCGCGGCTGGCCCGCTTGCTCTTGTCGCGCGCCGCTGCGCCCGTACTGGAGCTGCGGTTTGAATTGGCGGCGGCGTCGCCATTGGAATCTGACTGGTGAGCAGCGTCGCCTCCAGCAACGGCGCCCGCTGCTCCTTGTGCTGATGAGCTTGATGATGATGATGACGGCTCTGTGGCTGTGGTTGTGGCGGTGGTGTGGTTGGCAGCAGCAACAGTAGTCGACGAAACCAGTGACGAGTCATTGTGACTGTTTGCCGCTTGTTGCTCGCCTCCCTCCTGTTGCTGCTGCTGCTGCTGGGGGTTGTTGAGGCGGTCGCTGCTGCCGTGGTGGTGCTCGCGCTCGTGGTCGCTGTCGTGCTCCCGATGCAGCTGGTTGAGGCTCGTGCGACTCCCGCTCGCTGGGCTGTGCAGGTTCATTTCAGTCAACTTTGCGAGTTTCCGCTCGAGCTCTTCGCGCTGCACCGCGTCCGTCGCTGCCGTCGCCTCCGCCGCTTGCCTCGCCGCAGTGCTCAGCAGACTATTGCTGTCGTGCTGGTTGTTGCTCATCGTCGTCGCTGCGTCCGCCATCGCAAAAAAAAAAAAGAAAAGAAAAAAAAAACGAAAAAAAAAAACGAAATATGGAATTGGAACAAAAAAAATAAAAAAATAAAAAATAAAAAAATAAAAAGAAATAAAAGCAGAACTGAAAACAACAACAATTTCGAAAAACACAACAGCTTTTTTTTTTTTTTTTTTTTTTTTTTTTTTTTTTGGAAGAAGAAGAAGAAGAAGAAATCTGATTTTGTTTTGCTTTTTTGTTTTGCTAATTCATTCTAAAATGATGTGATGCTGATTTGGTTTTTTGTATTTGTTAACGTTGGTTGTTGATGCTTCCCACTTCATTCGATGTCGTTGTTCCATTTCTGTGGTGAAAAGTTGCAGCAACGAACAAAGCATCACGCGAGTCGAGCGAAGTATAGAAATATGCAATAGAATTGAAAAAGACAACGCGGCAACATACTAGTGCAACAGTGCAAGCCCGTCGACTAGGAAGAACGTGCGGCGTGAGGCAAGAAGAGCAGAATGACACCTGTCGCCAAACCGACCACCAGCACCGTGTCCAGGAGGTGTTGCCGCACGGGTATTCCGCCGATCAGGACCACAGGTGAAAGATGCTGCTGCTGCTGCCGTGTGCCATCATTGGAGGGAGGTCCAACGAGTCGTTTCAATGCATCGGCCGCGCTTGACAGCCAGGATGGTGATTGGCCATGTCCTTCTTCTTGCTTCCTTGTTGACTCGAACGCTGTACTAGTGTTGCTGTCCGTGATCGTTGTTGGAGATTCTTCAGACTTGTTTTGCGCTTGATTCTCCTTCAGATCTCTTCGTTGCTTGGTTGCTTGCCGATCATTGGCATCGATCAAAGTCGCATCGTCACTCTCGCCATCACTGTCGTCTTCGCTAGAAACAAGACCAATCATAGGAGGAGGTTGCTGCACCATGCTTGGTGGATGTTGCAGGGCATGGTCGGCCACCATCGTCTTGAGCGAAGCTGTCAGCACCTCGTTTTCGTTTGCCAGCTTGGCCAAGCGCTCGAGCGTGTGCTTTGGATTGAAGAAAAAGTAGGAAAAGATCGAGTATGAATAGCTCAGAATGACCGAGGTACTGGAAACCCATAAAATCTTGCGTGCGTGGTGCGTGTCTGAGCGGATGAGATCCTTGTTGAGCAGATTGAGCTTGCGTTCGCCGTCCCGCTTCTTGTTCAGCAGCGTGCGTAACTCGTCGTTCAGAAACTCTTCGCGCTCGACCAGCTTTTCGTACTCGTCCATCATGTGTCGCTTTGGCTGACCAAAGTCGCGCAGCTTTTGCATGATCGAGATGAACTCGGACGCCGCTTCGTCCCAGTCCCTGGCGTGCTTCTGGCATTCTTCTTCTTGTAGTGCCACAGCTCGCCGTAGCTGCTCGAGCTCGGCCGCTCCGGTGATCTCCGAGTACACGGCGCGCGACTTGGCGACCACTCCCCAGCCCTCTCTCGACAGAATCTGCTGCACGTTCGTCGCTCGAGTCTGCCATCGCGCCGCGACTACTTTGGCGGCATCTGCAGATGTGTGAAACCGACTCAGGGCGGACCGTGCAAAGTCAGCAGCGGCCTTGGACATGGTTTTTTGAGTTTTGGATTGCGCAAAAAAAAAAGAAAAAAAAAAAAAAAAAAAAGTGAAACCAGCACAACAACCAGGACTGCAAGCAGCAAGTTAAAGTCGCATTCGTCTTCATGCCCAAAACTTTGGTTGAATACGATGATGGAATTCGTGCTTGAGTTTTGGCCGGTTGATACGACATCTTGCAGTCAATCATGATATTTGCCTGACGCTACGAACTATTTCCAAATCGCCCTTGAAAACCAACACACTGCATTTCCCGCCTGTGCGAATTACAGTGAACGAGCGCGCATTCATGTCGTTTGCAGGCGTGACGCACCAAGTGACCGAGTCGGAGCATTCAGCGGCAAACTTACGTAACAGCTCAGTTATCTCATTCCCTCTCTCTCTCTCTCTTTCTCTCTCTCTCTCTCTTTTGGCTTACAAAAGCTGTCAGTCTTTTTTTTTTTTTTCTCTCTCTCTCTCTTCTCATTTCTTTTACTTTACTTTGATCCCTCTGTTGGGCCGTGTCTCAATCCACACACGCTCAAGACAACTTTTTCCGAATGAGCGCGATTCGTACGTTCAGCGAAGCCGCCTCTGCTGCGGTCTCGCCCGCTTCCCTCGCTTCCACCGCCGCCGCAGCTGCAGCGTCCGTCGTGGCTGCCTCTGCATCAGCATCCTCAAGCCCTGCTGCAGCGTCCGTCGTGGCTGCCTCTGCATCGAGCCCTGGCGCTGGCACGGGAGCAACCGGTCATCGCGCGCCTCGTGCGCCAAAGCAGCCCAAAGCCGCGGTCGATGCCGGCGCCGCTCCCAACAAGCGATCGCCCAAGCCCGCCGCCTCAGGCTCATCGAGTTCGTCATCTGGCGCATCCGGCGCGTCTGGAAGCGGTGCAGCGCCCAAAAAGTCAGTCCTGCTCCCGTCGCCGTTGCCAATTGCGGACATTGGGATCAATCTTGCGCACGACCACTTTGCCCGCGACGTCGAGCACTTTCTACGTCGGGCTGCAGAAGTCAACGTCACGACCATGGTGATTACCGGCACAAGCATGCGCGGCTCAGTTGAAGCGCTCGAGCTCGCGCGACGACATGGGATGCATGCCACAGTCGGTGTGCACCCGCACGATGCCAAGTCTTGCACGACGGGCACCATCCCAAAAATGCGCCAGCTCTTCACGTCCGCAGATACTGCTTCCTTGGCGGTGGCCGTCGGCGAATGCGGCCTTGATTTCGATCGGTACGGCACGGTTTTTTTTTTTTTTTTTTTTGTGCTTGTTTTTTAACGACGGTGTTTGAGTTGTCTCATCTTTGGTTGTTTGTGTTTTTTCTTCGCCATCGCGAGCAGAAATTTCAGCCCTCAGGATGTGCAGATGAAGTGGTTTGAAGAACAGCTCAAGCTGGCCGTTGAGCTGAAAAAGCCAGTCTTCCTGCACGAGCGCAGTGCGCATGAGGCGTTTGTGCGCATTCTCGAGCCGTACATGCCGCAGCTCACTGGCGCGGTTGTTCATTGCTTTACGGGCACTGATGCCGAGCTGAAAAAGTACTTGAGCATGGGTTGCCACATTGGCATTACTGGGTGGATTTGCGATGAGCGCCGCGGTACCGACCTTGCCAAGATTGTCCACCAGATTCCTCTTGACCGGCTGATGGTATGTGGCACAACGAAAAAAATCCAAAGAGAAAGCGCATGGCGAAGGAGGGGGGGGGGCGACGAACTTGTCGTGTTCTCACGGATTGGCGTTTGCAAATTGGTTTCAGATTGAAACGGACGCGCCGTACCTCATTCCGCGCAACATTCGACCCCGACAATCTCAAAACGAACCGGCATTCCTTCCTTACGTGCTAGAGATGGTCGCACAATGCATGGGCAAGAGCGTTGAGGAAGTTGCTCGTGGCACCTTCGAAACGACACGTCGATTCTTCCAGCTGCCAGAGAGCGCGCTGCCGGCTGCTGCTAGTTCTTGAAGCGTGGTTTTTTTTTGATGTCACATTTAGCATTTGTTATTCTCGGAATTAAGTATAATCTCGCCTGTGAGCTTTTTTCCTCGTTTTTCAAACCTAAAGTCGACGAAATCGGCAGATGGTCGAGCTGATTGAGTTTTTTGCAATGATGGGCCGACTAGTTGTGCTGCGGATGTATATTGCAATGACCAGAATCACACGCGCGCACACCTCGTCTCTGCATCGAGACGACCGCCGGCAACAACAACACGGGTGATGCTTCTGAAGTTGGTTTTTCCACACACTTTGACTTTTGAATCCGGATTTCTCCTATTTCTCCCCTTTCTCACTGTGTTTTTTTCCCCTTATTTCTGATAGTTCCAATTTTCTCAGTCCATCTTTTTTTTTCTTCTACTTTTTTCCATTTTTGTCCTTCTTTGATCATGCGCTCGTCCGCTTCCTCCGCTTTGGTCGTGCTTGCGCTTGTTGCGCTCGCTGCCGCCTCTGCCTTTGCAGCGCCCGCCCATCCACACACTCCCCTTGCAGGCCAAGCACTCGACGGGTAAGACATGACGACATCAAGGCCATCTCTCTCTCGTCACTGTTGTCTCTGCGGCTTTTTCCGCTTTTTTTCCTCTTCCATCGTCTTCCCTTTTACCACACACACTCACACACTTTCTCTCTCTCTCTCTCTCTCTCTCTCTTTGCATTGAGTTCTCGGTCCATTCTGAAGGTCGAGAATAAAAGTCCCCAGCAGCAGCAGCAGCAGCAGCAGCAGCAGTTGTGCCATTGAAAGCGGACATTGAAAACTTGCTCATCATTTTCGCCGCTTTGCTTCATTCACACCTTGTGATGCTTCTTTTCGTGTTTTGGGATGGCGCCACCGCCGACCAATCACACGCAGTCGCAATTTGGAAGCTTGGCTTTGGGATGGGATGGGGCAACTCGAAAACATACAAACAAAGCACAATCAAAACGAAACGAGGGAATAACCATGGCATGGGCAGCAAGTCGCGAAGCACTTGGAAGAAGAGAGGGGGACAATTGGATAGTGGCTGAACATTGGGCCTTGTCCATCCGCCCAAACCACGCTCAAAATGCCTATGCTATGCTCAAAATGCCTATGACATGCTTTGAAGCACTTGGAAGAGAGGGGACAACGAGAGAGAGAGAGAAAGAGAGGGACAGTGGCTGAACAGTGGTACATCGCTCCAAATCTGCCCACCCTCCCACCTCGCCCAAACCACACTCTAGATTTCATACTGAACTCGATTTCTGCTTTTTTTTGCTTTTGATTGAACAACTTTTTTTTTTTTTTTTTTTTTTTTAGCCACAAGGTCTACCGCATCACTGCTCAGTCGGACGAGCAACTCCGCATGCTCAACTCGTTCGTCGAGATGTGGGACACTTATGTAAGACCCTCATGCACAAGAACATACACATCGTACAACCTCACTGATTTTTTTCTCTGTTTGTTTTGTTGCCCAGGTCGACGTCTGGAGGGACATTCGCTCGGTCGAGCACCCCGTCGACATCCGCGTGCCAGAGTCGCTGCAAAAGCAGTTTGTCAGCTTCCTCGACATGATTGAGGTCGAGCACACTGTCATTGTTGAGAATGTCGCCGAGCTCGTCCAGGAGCAGATGGACGACATTCGCGCCCGCGCCTCGTCGTTTGTCCTCTCTGCCGACAACGTGCACGACGACGGCTGGTACTCAAACTACCAGACCTTTGAGAACATTACCGCCTGGCTCACCACCCTCCAGGCCAAGTACCCGTCCCTTGTGACCATCAACATTGTCGGCACCACCTACGAGGGCCGCTCGCTGCCTGCCATCACCATCAGCTCCAACTCGACTTCCGGCAAGCCCAAGCCTGGCATCTGGATTGACGCCGGCATCCATGCGCGCGAGTGGATTACCACCGGCACTGCCGTGTACATGATTGGCAACCTTCTTGAGGGCTACGGCGTCAACGCCAACATTACCGCCATTGTCGACGCCTTCGACTGGACCATTCTGCCCGTGTTCAACGCTGACGGCTACACTTACACCTGGTCGAACGCTCTCGACGCCCGCATGTGGCGCAAGACTCGCAGCAAGAACGCTGGCTCGCTCTGCGTTGGCACTGAGTGAGTTCTTTGTTTTGGTGTTTTGTCGTTGTTGCAGCCTGGAGGGGTTTGGGTTTGGGAGAAAAGGGGACTTGGGGATTGGAGGCGGGAAAACGAGTGGAGGCGGAAATTGGAGAATTTTTTTTTTGTTTGTTGTATTTCTTGCTCACACTTGCCCCCTCCTTCCCACTTCCAGCCCCAACCGCAACTGGGACTTCCACTGGGGCGAAGCTGGCACTTCCACCAACCCTTGCTCGGACTCGTACCAGGGCAAGTCTGCCTTCTCTGAGATTGAGATCAAGTCTGTTGCCGATTACATCAAGACCAAGGGCACCTATGTCATCTACGTCGACCTGCACTCGTATGGCCAGCTTTGGATGAGCCCTTGGGGATACACAGACACCAAGCCCGCCGACTTTAACACTCAGGACGCTGGCTCGATCGCTGGCGTGAATGCCGTTGTTGCCGCCGCCACCACCCTCCCTGCTGCCGTCTTCACCCACGGCACGATCTGCTCCACCATCTACCCCGCCTCCGGCTCGTCTGCGGACTGGACTTATGGCGTTGCTGGCATTGTCTACTCGTACGGCATTGAGCTTCGCGACACTGGCACGTACGGCTTTGTTCTCCCTGCCTCCTACATTGTGCCCTCCGGCAACGAGATGCTTGCCGGCTTTATTGCGCTTGCCAAGTACGTGGCTACGCAGCTGAAATAAGTGCTTCCATTTGTTGTGTGTAGCTATCTTTCGTTGTTGCTTTGCAAACATATTAAAACAGTTTGTTGTTCTACTGTATGTCGTCGGGTCGATCGAGCACTGTTGGTGCAGCCCTCAGTTGTCACTCCCTGCATTGTACAATGCCGTTCGTTTTGGTGCATTTGCAGTCCCTTTTGTTCGTTCAGGTTGCTGGCTGAACGCTTCAAGGCGATTTGTGCTTGGGCCTTTTTCCTACCTTGCGCTTGAATGCAACACGCCATCATGTCGCCTTCAGCTGGAGGCCAACACCAGCCAGCAGCAGCAGCAGCAGTTGCAGGATCACCAGTCACCGTTGCTGCTGCCCAGTCCACCGCTGGCATGGGTGTTGGTTCACCAGCACTGATGACGGGCAACGGCGCGTTTGCGGCGGATCATCGGTTTCAGCAACCGCCGCCGCACCGCCTCGCTCAGCAACCACATCAGCAACATCAGCAACATCAGCAACATCAGCAACAGCAGCCACAACAACAACAGCAACAGCAACGGCATCATCAACAGCAGCAGTTTGCACCATCGCCAATGTACCGCCACTCACTGCCAGCTCAGTCCACTCTGCCGCCGACACGCCCTCCTCTGACTCTTCCCCCTCATCAGCAACATCAACAACATCAGCAGCATCAACAACATCAAAGTCACTCACGACCGCAGTTTCACACTCAACAATCCGCGCCTGTCATTCCACTACTACAACAGCCAGTCCCGCGAGCACCTCTCGCTCAACAACAACAACAGCAACAACAGCAGCAACAACAACAGCAACACAGCTCATCATCCGTTTCGGCTCCTGCAACGCCGGCACCTGCGTCGGACGTTGGCCTGAATCCCGAGATGGACGAGTACGAGATTCTCAATCTGCTTGGCCGTGGCGCGTATGGGAAAGTGTTCCGCGTCCGAAGACGTCGGGATGACTTTGTCTGTGTCATGAAGCAGGTGCCGCTCACGGGCTTGCCTCCAAGCGAGTGGCGCGCGACGCTCAACGAGGCGCGCGTGCTGAGCGAAATCAGGCAAGACGAACGATTTTGACAGGTTTCTCAGACTTGTCGTGTTGAGGGTTTTTTTTTCTGTTCTTCTGTGGACAACGTTCACTCACTCTCATGACATCCACGCAACATGCATTCGCAGCGCAACGGGAAGGCATCCAAACATTATCACATACTACGACTCGTTCATGCACGACAACCAACTCAACATCGTCATGGAGTATGCCAACGGTGGCGATCTATCGTCAGTCATGCGGCCAAAGCCGAGCCCGTAAGCTTGTTGTGCAGGCAGTTGCAGTTTGTAGAGCGCTTGCCGAGTGGCAGCATCATGCTGACTTCCAGGCCTTTTTCGCATGTTTGACAAACAGACCTCTGGACGAGGACATCATCTGGACGTATCTGATTCAAATGTTGCAGGGGCTCGAGTTCCTGCACGCTCGACGCGTCTTGCATCGCGATATCAAACCCCACAACATGTTTCTACACACCGACGACCCACTTGCTGGAGGCCTGCCATCCATCAAAATCGGCGACCTCGGCTTTGGCACCATTCTCGGGAATGGCATGTGGGCCAACACTGGCGTCGGCACGCCGCTGTACTTTTCGCCCGAGCTGTGCGAAGGCAAGCCGTACAATGAAGTGGCCGACGTCTGGTCACTGGGCTGTGTGGCCTATCAGATGGCTGTTCAAGTCCCGCCGTTCGTTGCTGGCAACCAGATCGCCCTTGCCAAGTAAAAGCCCCCCCCCTTGCGCCCCCGGTGGTTTGCATCTACCTCGATTTTTTCCTTGTCTTGCGCTGCAACTCACATCTTGGGTCTTGGTTTTGTAGGAAAATCGTATCCGAGGATCCCCCGCCAATCTCGTCAAGTTTTTCCGTCGAATTCCGGCATATTGTCTGGAGAATGCTTGAAAAGAATCCAAACAATCGGCCCAATGTTGCTCAGCTCCTGGCGTTTCCTGCAGTTCGAGTAAGATTACGTTGCATGCAGCACGAGGCTACCATCCGACAAATGCAGCAGCAGCTTGGCAATCTGCAACGTCAGCTGGAGCAGCAACCCCCGCCTCCCAGTGAAGCCCAGGAGATTCTGCGGGTGCGTTCCATTTCCAATACCGAAATGCGGCTACAGTCGCTGGAAAATGAAAACGCCGACCTTCGACGGCTGCACTCGGAAGCAGTTCGGCAGCGCGACGATGCAGTCCAGACAACCCAGTACGTTTTTTTTGTTGCTGTTGATTATGATTGTCGTTGTTGCTGTTTGCGCCCCAACTGTTGATGGATGATTTTCTGATCTTTTGTTTGCCAATGCCCCCTCCTGTCTAGATCGCTGGCACTCACGAACAAGGATCTCGAACGCCAAGTCAGCCAGCAGCAGCAGCAGCAGCCCGCCCCAAGCGCCACCACCACCACTAGGCCGGTCTCCACTGCGTCGCTGGGTGACAGTCTGTTTCCACAAGCTTCCGATGGCTCCCTCAGCACACTTGCCACAACTCAGACGAGTAGCCGGAATTCTGACAAGATTGGGTCGAGTGGTGGCAGTCGCACCAGTATGCGGCTCGCCGTTGCGCCAGACGTGGACTACTCGAGCCGCTCGCTAGAGCTGACCAGTCATCATGATTATTACGTTGATGGAGATGAGTATCGGGGAGATTCGGGACTCGGTGAGAGTACCACGTCTGCCGCGGCAGCGTTTCATGACCCAGAGTCCAATTTCGTGCAGCTTGTACCGTCGGAGATTTCAGTGGCGGCATACCTACCTCCCGTCATTCCCGTCATTCCCGTCATCACTGCAGCGACTGCGGCAGCAGCATTGGCAGCGACAACGGCCGCCGCTCAAGTGCCTCCAGCCAAGCTCCCGTTCGAGTTTGATCAGCTCGGACTGGCGACCACGCCGCTCCCTTCCTTGTTTCCGCCGCTATCGACCCAGACGCCCGAGTTTCCGTGGTCGTTGTCGTCATCGCAACAGAATCCACCCGCCGTTGTGCAGCCGTCAACAACTTCAACTGGGTTTAGCACTCCAGCGCCCAATCACCATCTTTCGCTGGACGGTGCGTCGCATCGTCACTCTCTTCAGCAGGCGGATTTTCGCGCTCAGGCTCAGCCCCAAATTGCAGCAGGACCTTTGACTGCACCCTTGCTACCGCCAAGCAGCTTTCAGACCACTGGGCCGGTTCAACTCACTCAGCCTGCTGCTGCTTCCCTCAACCAGCCACGCTCAAGCACTCCGGGAGGAGATCGCTCACACCATCCGCCAGCGGGATTTGCTCGGCCGTCTCTTGTGCTGCCGGATGCGAGCGCGCATCACGTCGCCATGCAGCCTAGCTACGAACCTGCCAGACAGACGCAGTTGCAAGCCAGCGCTTCCAACACGTCCCTGACCCCATCCATCTCGCAGCTTTCTCTGGGCCATTCTGGAGACGTGTTTGCGCAGAATGGTGTTAGCGCATCACCATTTCCACAACAAGTCGTAGCTGCACAACAGCAAACAGGCACGCAGCGGCCGCACCCACTACCGGCTCAATCGGAACCTGCCCAACCCGAAGAAGGAGCAGCTCGTATGCCCAGGTCTGTCTCGGACTACTTTGTCAACACTCCGAATCAGCTTGCCGGCGGTGTCAGCCCCTTCCACGCACGCGTCTTCAGCGAGTAACTCTGTGTTCTGCGTGCGTACATGTGCGAGCGATGCGTAATTACCTTTGTACATCAGTGTATACCTCTTTTCTTTTCCCTTCTTCGTCATTGTTTTCTTAAAGTGTGCGTCAATCTACGCTTGAGCGAGCGAGTGGTTTGGTTTACACTGGCAGTATGCGCGTGCGTGGCGTTGCCGTCTTGTACCACCTCTCGCTGCCAACAATGCTTCACACGTCACTCTCGCTATTGAGGCGTGGGAGGACGGGCATGTGGTACAAGTCTGCTCTCTCTGGATTGGATGACTCAAACCACACAGCCACAGGATTCAAATGCCAGGTTCAAAAAGAAAAACAAAAACAAAAAACCCGACAAAAAACTGTTTGGCAAGAGGTGCACTGCAACCGGTTTTGCAAGTTCTGGTGTCGCTTGTTTTGTCTTTTTAAAGTATTTTGGAGTTTTTGGTTATGGGAAAAACACTCAAAAATGTGGTAAAAACCTCTTACTGCCCGATTTTTGATTTTCATTGTTTTCGCTTTCGTTCGCTTTTGTTCGCTTTTGCCAGTCCAATTCGGTCAACAGCTCACACCTCTCTTTGTTGGGCTTCTGGTGAGCGTATTTGTGACTGACTGTGCACTGGTCTGAGAGGCCTCAGGGCAACTCACCTTGTCAAAACTCGTGCCGCAGACTCAGAAACCGGAAAAAAACAAACAAACAGCCCAAAACATCAAAAAATGGGAAACAACGCAAGTGCGCAAGTCGGAACCCATCTCTCAGCAACGAGTGCTCACTCGGAGCCGCTAAAGTCCCACGACCAAGATGCACACACCACCATGCGTCGGTCGCGCTCGTCTCCCAACGCGGGCAAAAAGCAGCAGCAGCGCCTCGGCGGATTATCAACGACGAAAAGCGAGAGCAGTTTCTTGTCGCGGCTATCCCGCACCCACAGCACCAAGAACTCGCATACTAACACCAGCACCAGCACCACCAGCAGCACCAGCAGCAGCCGTTCCAGTACCAAACGCAGTAAAGCACCAACCAGCCCAAACGAGCGCACTGCAGCTCCCACTTCACGCTTGTCCAAGAGTCGCTCAACCGTCAACGTCGTTGCCGCCAACGCCAATGAGCCCGCAACCTCCATAACCTCGGTAATCTCAACCACAACCTCAGCGCCAATTTTGTCGCCAGTTCACGCCCCACCTCCAACGACCCAATCGTCCCGGCCAAACCGCTCCATCCTACTCGGTCTCAACTCGTCCCGACCCCCGCGCGCCACCACCGACGCTTCTGGCGCCACCCATCATGGCGTGCGCTTTGCATCCGACTGCAACAACACGGAAGACGTTGCGCACAGCAACAACACTGGCGACACCTGCAACAGCGGTGGTGTCGGCAAGATGCAAACCCCTCCTGTCAAAAGTAGGAAGCATAGCACAGCCTATCATTCTGCATCAGCAACAAGTCCCTCGTCCCCTCGCCGCCGTTCCTCTAAAACCCGCTCAGACCAGCAGCAGGAACAAGAGAAGGTGCATCAACCCCGTGGGACGAGTGACGGGCACTTGGCGGCCTTGCCCTCGACAGCGACGGCACATCCAACCGACGCAAACCACATGAACGCCCCCGCACTTTCCACGCTGCTGCGCGTTCCAAATGGCGGGCATTTTGCGGCTTCTGAATCCTCAAGCAGCCTTGATGCAAACACAAACAGCAGTCGATCGGCGCCCCTGAGCGAGTCGTGGTCGCTGGCAACACAAGAGACAAGCTGTGCGCGAGATGCAAGCTGGTCCGGACCGATCGGAGGACGTTTGGAGGACCTTCCTACTGATTCGCAAATGGGTCCAAACTCGGATGGCGGATCTGGACACAGGCATTCTTCATTTTCTCTTTCGTCTTTTCTCGAGACCTTGACATCGGCGGGCGCTACAGGCGGCAGCATTTTAACAACCATCGCCAGCGTCAGTAGCCAACAAGCCACAGACACCGACGACAGTGCTCAGCAGCATTTGCAAGCTACTAGTTCCAGTGACTCAGAGCACCCGCATTCGCCAACCAGCGACCGTAAGCCGCAGAGATCGATTTTGGTGCAAACGTCAGACCAAGCTGAATTTTCCACCTCGGCGCTCCTTCCTCCTCCTTCTTCATCATCATCATCTTCTTCTTCTTCTTCTTTGCTCCATCCCCCAGCTTCACTCGCTTCCTCGACCGCTTCCGTGTCAAACACTGCAGCTTCGAGCGTCTCTCTGGTCACCGCGGCAAGCGTTCTTTCCAGCGATCACGACATTTCTCAGCGACACCACGCATCCTCCGTGCAGCACTCCCTCACCACCTTGCCCGACCACTCTACTCCGGCCCATCCATCAAACATGACCTCCGTCGCTCAGATTGCGTACCACCACAGCCACCAGCAGGAGCACCACTCCCACCATCACACGCAGCAGCATTGGTGGACGTTTCGATTCGCCAAAAAAAGCCGTCCGGACACCACCTTGGACACCATCTCAGATACACCCAAGCGCCTGTCCTCCACCAAAGCAGGCAGCCTGAAGGACGATGGCGGGGAGGCGGTCACTCCCAAGCACCAGCAGCAACGCCCGGCAAAGCTCTCGATCGGCAACCGTGCTCTGCGCTTCTTGGGACGCCCAGTCACGCCCCCAACCACTCCCAAGCCGCATGGTCGTCGCAAGCGCCACGGCAATAACAACAACAGCAACAGCAAGTCGCTGCAAACTTCTCAAAACTTGCAGAGCAGCGTGTGTTCGGACGAGCTCACGCGCGGCAGCACCACCACCGACGAGTGGGAGCGCCTTTCGATGGACGACGAGGCCAGCGGCGTGCACATGTCGCGCATTTCTGCCGTGGACTACGCCCAGCACGACGGCATGTCCATCCACCACGACCACCGCGATTTGGACAAGAGCCAGACGGATGAGCACACCCAGCGGGGCCGGAAGAAGCGCTGGTGGCACACATTCACGCGATCAACCACGCGACATGGTTCATCGAGCACCGACTCTGGCCACTCGAGCGAAACCTCGTCTCTTGCATCGATCGAAGGCAGTGGCAAGAACACGTGGAATTCTCGCAGCATGCGCCAGAAGAAGCCCGCTCGTCGCGGCGTCGTCTCCTTGTTCTACGAGCACGACATTGCCACCCCTTCCGCCTCGGGCAGCTCGAACATGCACACGAGTCACTCGGAAGGCTCGAGCCCCATGGAGGACGTTGCCCACGCGCTCCAAGTGCCTGCCCTGCTCGGCGAAGCAATGGGCAGCAATGCTACTGCTGCTACTGCTGCTGCTGCTGCCGCTGCTTTGCCTGTCGCCAACGCGAGGGCGATGATGGAGCTGCCGCTCGAAGTTGTGAGCCCAATGGAGACGAGCTTTGGCCCAGATTCGCCACCCCTTGTCGAGCAAAGTCAACCAGCAGGCAACGCAATCCGAAAGCCATCTCTGGAGCAGCGCAAGCAAGCCGTCATGAGCATTGCCGAAGTGGCCGAGCCGCTTGTTTTGACGGTCAACGCCGCGACCGCAACTGTTGTTGAATCTCACGACCAGCCCGAGACTGCCGTCGGTTCCAAGCTTCCTGCTGCCTCCACCACGAGCATGCCAGGCTTGGACAGCATTTCGATCGTGGTCACCGAGCCTGCTACCTCGACCAAGCTCCGTGTGTCCGTTTCCGAGCCGTCTGGTGTTTCCTCCCCGCGCCCAGTCTACTCTGTTGCACGCCATGTCCTTGGGTTTGCCGTCGACCCCCGCTTCCCTGAGCTGTCCACGCCTGGCTCGACGCTGAGCGCTCGCGGCCGTCGTGTGGGTCGCTCAGCCAGCCCTGCCGTGCTTCGGAGCCTCACGCCCAACTGCGCCACCCCCGAGCAGCAAGCAGCTCAGTTTGGCAAGCTGTTCGTGGTGCCTTCTGCACCCATCGCCGAGGAAGCGGAAGAGCTTGACGACGAGGTCGTCGATAGTCATGTTCTTGTGGCTGACACGGTTGTCACGCACGCGCAAGTCCAGCTCCAAAAGACGCCGCTCCCCGTGGGTTCCGAATCGCCACAGCAGCTGCCGGTCACCGCACCTCGCGTCGCAACCAGCAATGCCAACCTTTCGATGGCCGATTTCCAGGTCTTGGCGTTGGTGGGCACTGGATCGTTCGGCCAAGTGTCGGTCGTGCGCCATCGCGCCACCAAGGAGCCGTTCGCATTGAAGGTTATTCAAAAGCTCCCCATCGTCGAGCAGGGCCAGGACGAGCATGTCCTGGAAGAGCAGCGTTTGCTCTTGCGCACCGACACGCCGTTTGTGGTCACCCTGTTTGCCACCTTCCAAGACCGCAAGGCCCTCTACTTTGTGCTCGAGTACCTGAACGGCGGCGAGCTCTTTACGTATCTGCGCGAGGCCCTGCGCTTTACCAACACGACTGCCAAGTTCTACGCATCGGAGGTTGTTTGCGCGATTGACTACCTGCACTCTCAGGACATTGCCTACCGTGATCTGAAGCCGGAAAACATTCTGCTCGACTCGTCTGGTCACATCAAGCTCATCGATTTTGGCTTTGCGAGGACGATGAGGGCGACCGATCGTACTTGGTCGTTGTGCGGCACCCCAGAGTACCTGGCCCCCGAGATTATCCTGAACAAGGGCCACGGGCGTGAGGTGGACTGCTGGTCCATTGGCGTGCTCTTGTACGAAATGCTGTTGGGCTACCCACCGTTCCATGGCTCGAACAATGTTGAAATGTACGAGAACATCATCACGGGCAAGTACAGCTTCCCCGACTGTGTGCCAATCTACTCGCAGGCGCGCTTGCTCGTGTCCCAGCTCCTGGTCTCGTCGATCTCGCGCCGATTGACCATTTCCGAAATTAAAAACCACAGCTGGTTTGAAGGCGTCGACTGGGAGGTGGTCAAGCAGCGCACTCGCACCCCGCCCTTCATCCCGCCGGTCGAAAGTTCCGAAGATACATCCATGTTCTGCCCCTGTGACGATGCCCAGGAAGAGATGCAATGGGAGCTTTGGCGCAGGGAGACTGCTTCCCTCGGCGCCGCCGTCGAGGACAAGACAGAGACCGAATGCTCCGACCTGTCCGAAGGAAGCACCGATGACTGCTTGAGCGAGCTGATTGAGCAAGCGGCCAGTGACGTGTACGACCCGCTTGCCCAGGCCCGACACGACCATCTTCGCTCGCTGCAGTCGCAGGCCTCGATGCCAGGCCTCGAAGCTGTTACGCGACTCCCGGACAAGCCGGGATTTGACCTTTCGCTCGGCAGCGACACTGACGAGCAGATGTGTCGTGAGCATGCCACACGAACAGTGCAAGACTTGCAGCAAGCCAGTCGACGCCAGCGTCGCAAGGAGCGCCAAGAGCGACGCGAGCAGCTGTTTGCGCAGTTTGACAGCGTCAATCCCCGATTTGCCAAGCAACTGCAGCTGCTGTAAAGTTTCGCTTTGAAAGCATTGGCGGTCAGCCCAGTGATGTACTTGTATTGTAGTCTAGATTTGTTTTCGTTTGCGTTGTTCCGCTTTTCGTTGCTTTTTTTGGTTGATGTTTGCTTGTTTGCGTGTTTGTTTGTTTGTTTGTTTGTTGGTTTGTGTTGCGCGTTGTTGCTGTTCAACCATTTATCGTCCTGTCTCCTCGGACAGCATGTTGTAGAGGAAGATTGCTTCTCAGTGTACTGATTGTCTCTGAGCGAAATATAAGATTTTGTGGATTTGTCCAAATCGAAGCAATAGGATGGGGTGTAATGAAGAAGAAAAGATGTGTTCATCGACACCATCAACAGAGGAGAAAAACGACGTCATCTAACAGCGAGAACAATCAGCACGAGAAGAAAAGTGGAGAAGGAAATTGCATCAAACTTGTCAAAAAAAAAGAAAGTGGAAAAGTGGATTTTTAGAGATCAAGCTCAGCAGCTCGGCTACGGAAGTTGCTGGCAATCGGCTCAATCACCTTGGCCAGCTCGTCTTCGAGGCTGAGAAGGACACCTGTCATGCAAGCAAGCCGAGAGCGGGAAGGGGACAAGGTGAGAATTTTGAGAATTGAGAGCTCTCATTTTGGCCAGCACTTTCACTCACCAATGTTTGCCTCGCTCGAAGCAATGAAGGTGAGGATGATCGGCAGGTGGTTGAAGTGCACGGTCTGGTACGACTCGTACGAGCAAGCGACAACGGTGTTCTTTTGGAGTCCAATCTTGCTCGCCTGCAATCCAACAAAGAGCAATTCAGATATGAGCTCGGACTTGGCTGCTTTCATTGTCCATCCAGCCTGGGGGAGAAGTCAGTTTACCTGTTCAATGGCAGCAGTGAAGCTAGCGAGGTATCCGGCTTGCAGAGTTGCCTGGGGGTTGGCGGATGTGGTGGCTGCCGTCAAAAAACAGGATCAGCGCGCGAAAAGTGAGGCCTTCCGCTGCACCAACACACGCGCGGATTCAACAAAAAAAGCAAGAAGACGCCATTTGGAGCAATATGACTGGTTTGTGACTGCACATCGCAGTGGGACCAAGTCTACTGGTGCTTTGGCTGAGCGATGAGTGACTTTTGTTGGAGCTCACCTTTCACGACAATGACGCCGTCGCGGTCCGTGACGATGGCAGCGAGGAGACCAGGAACACTGTCCCCAAAGACACACACAGAGCAAGACGCACAGCAGTGAGGCGGGGGGGGGTGAGTGCAGTGGTCAGCGGGCCCTCATGACTGGGAAGCTCAATGGTCGCTCTCTCTCTCTCGCTGCTCTGTCTCTCGCTGATGCGCTTCAGCAACACTCAATGCGACCGTCTTGAATAAGATCAAGCACGACTTCGAAGCGAACGAGCGGCCGCTGGACTGGGATGGTCTGCCTGAGAGCTTTACCGAGTCAGAAGACGATCGAAAAACCCTTGAAGAGCCTGTAGCACATGGAAGGGAAATTAGTCAGAGAGGGGTAAGAAGTGAGGCTGCGTAAAAGCGAAACAAAAGAACGATACTAGGACATTCACTAAAAACACTCCGCCGTCCTACCCCCCTTTTCCCCCTTTTCCCCTTTTTCCCCTTTTCCCCTTTTCCCCGCTCTTTTCTCGCCTCCAACCATTGTAAAATCAGCAGACTATGCAGAAATAACAACAGATACCTCAGCCATGGTTGCCAAAAAAACTTGGAAAAAATAACAACAAAAAAATGAAAACTGAGACCAAAATCCCAGATTAGGAAGCGAGCTCAGTTCCCGTGCAGCAAAACACAATCAGTGCAACAATCACGAGAACGACACATTACACAAACCATGCTCTCTCGCCTGTCAACTGTAAGCGCATCGTTGAGTGGTAGCAGGGAGGGGAGATTAAGGAACCATAGAAGCATCGAAAAAAGCTCAAAGCGTCGAACCGACCTCGCTTTTTGTCACTCACCAAATGTATAAATGCATGCATGGATGGATGCATCTTACTGGTGTGTGTGTGTGTGTGCATCCGCAGAGCATTGCGCGCGCTGTGGCGTCCGCTGGCCAAGTCCGCACATGTATTACAGCTGGCGCTGCTGCTGCCGCTGCCGGCGCTGCCCCGCTGCACTCGTCGGCCGCGTCGCTGCACGGACACACACATGGCGGACAGCCGTGCGACGGAGACCACGGGGGCATGACGGAAGGCGAGGAGCGCATCTCGAACATTCTGCTGGACAAGCTCAAGCCGACCGCGCTGGGCGTCAATGACATTTCAGGCGGCTGCGGCTCAATGTACCAGATTGGCGTCGAGTCGCCAATGTTCGCGGGCCTCTCGCTTGTTCAGCAACACAGACTCGTCAACGAAATCCTCAAGGACGAGATCAAGGGCATGCACGGAATGCGCCTCCAGACGCGCACAACCCCTCCGAAGCCCGCCGCCGACGACAAGAGCAAGTCTGCATAACCAGTAGCTCGAGGTGTTTTGCAAACAGGTCCAAGCACACGAGTGGATGCAGTGCCAAGCTCGAGGCATTTTGCAAGAGATTCAATAAACGAATCACATTTGTCTTGACGCGACACGACGAACGAGACTCTTCTCACAGATGATTTGTCAACGAGGAAGAGTTCGCCAAGAGGAATTTGCTCCCCGTGTGGAAGACGTGGAGAGGCACGATCTGAGGGGGGGGGATGGAAGAAAGGATTGTGCCGCAAGTCATGGTTTGAAGAGACAGAACGACGTTAAACCAAGTGCGGCAACTGCATGCGGAAAAAGAAACGCAAGATTACTCGTTGTACAATGCGGAGAAAGCTCCAGTGAAAGCAGCACGCCGAGAGACCCACTTGCACTCAAACAGTTGAATGAGCTGTTGTGGTTGATTGACGTTTTCCCACACGCTTCGTCAACACGCCTTGTGAATGAATGTCGCATGAACGACTTGATTTTCGAGTTCAGATTTGTTTTAGTTGCTGGGTTTCTGAGACTTTTCCCCAAGGTAGTTTTCCTCGCTCATTCCTACTTTTCTGGGACGGTTGCTCCCCTTGCTGTATATCCGATTCCAAAGCAGCCAGCCCCAAAAAAAACCACGTTCATGCGACGCCAGCAGTGGCGGGGGTGGTGGTGGCGGTCGGCGGGACTACTACAGCTGCAGCTAGTCGTAGTAGCGGTGGCGATGGGCGTAGCAGCAGCAGTAGCAGTGGCTGAAGGGGACGCCAACATCATGTCCAGCACCACTCTTCATCAGGAGCACTCCATGATCCATCATAATGCTGGTGATGATGATGATGATGATGATGATCCTACAAATGCCGACCCGTACGCGGACTGGGGCGTCGATCGGTGCCTCACGCTCGTGCTCGCGCTGCTGTACATGGCCTTGTTCCTGACGGTCATCTCGCAGCTCGCGCGGATTGTCTACTACCGACACCGGCTGGGATCGTTCCAGGTGGGCTTCCAGTCGCTGTGCCTCGTGTGGACGCTGCTCAGGAGCATCTGGTTTGCCAAGGCGCTCGCGACGCGCTGGTCGAATCTCGTCGAGGAGCTCATCTACTGGCCCCCAGTCAACCTCGAGTTTGCCACGTTCTCGCTGCTCGGAGTGTTCTTTGTGCGCATCATCCACCAGCAAGCGTGGCGGGACATCCATCGGCGGGTCATGGCCGCCTGGGTCGCCCTCAACCTCTTCCTGCTCTTCCTCAACGTACTCTGGATTGCCTACATTGGCGACGCGAGCACCGTGTCGGAAGACCTCGTCGAGGTCCGCGAAGCATTCGTGGCATCGACCTTCTTGATTCTCGCGGTTATCATTGGGTACTTTAGCTGGCGACTGATTGTCGTGCTGAATTCCTCGACCGCTCCTGTACGTGCTTTGGCATTTTGGTTTTGGTTGTCCGTTGCTGTTGTGATTGCTGCCACAGCCATCAAG